GCCTCAGTGGGAGAAAGGCTGGCTGAGGGGGAAAGCGTCAGTGGGAGAAAGGCTGGCTGAGGGGGAAAAGTCCTCAGTGGGAGAAAGGCTGGCTGAGGGGGAAAGGCCTCAATGGGAGAAAGGCTGGCTGAGGGGGAAAAGGCCTCAGTGGGAGAAAGGCTGGCTGTGGGAGGAAAGGCCTCAATGGGAGAAAGACTGACTGAGGGAGGAAAGGCCTCAGTGGGAGAAAGGCTGACTGAAGGGGAAAAGGCCTCAGTGGGAGAAAGGCCGGCTGAGGGGGGAAAGGCCTCAGTGGGAGAAAGGCTGGCTGAGGGGGAAAAGGCCTCAGTGGGAGAAAGGCTGGCTGAGGGGGAAAGGCCTCAGTGGGAGAAAGGCTGGCTGAGGGAGGAAAGGCCTCATGGGAGAAAGGCTGGCTGAGGGGGAAAGGCCTCAGTGGGAGAAAGCCTCGCTGAGGGAGAAAAGGCCTCAGTGGGAGAAAGGCTGGCTGAGGGGGGAAAGGCCTCAGTGGGAGAAAGACTGGTTGAAGGGGAAAAGGCCTCAGTGGGAGAAAGGCTGGCTGAGGGGGAAAAACCTCAATTGGAGAAAGGCTGGGTGAGGGGGGAAAGGCCTCAATGGGAGAAAGGCTGGCTGAGGGGGAAAAGGCCCAGTGGGAGAAAGGCTGGCTGAGGGAAAAGGCCTCAGTGGGAGAAAGGCTGGCTGAGGGGGGAAAGGCCTCAGTGGGAGAAAGGCTGGCTGAGGGGGAAAGGCCTCAGTGGGAGAAAGGCTGGCTGAGGGAGGAAAGGCCTCATTGGGAGAAAGGCTGGCTGAGGGAGGAAAGGCCTCAGTGGCAGAAAGGCTGGCTGTGGGGAAAAGGCCTCCTTTTGTGAAGAGATGGCCACTCCCTTTATTGAAAAGGAATGTCATCTTGGTGTGTCGAAGAGATCATTGACAAATAGAGCTCAGTCTGAGAGAAAGACCTCAGTCTGAGAGAGCCCTCAGTGTGAGAAAGCCTCAGTGGGAGAAAGGCTGGCTGAGGGAGGAAAGGCCTCAGTGGCAGAAAGGCTGGCTGTGGGGAAAAGGCCTCCTTTTGTGAAGAGATGGCCACTCCCTTTATTGAAAAGGAATGTCATCTTGGTGTGTCGAAGAGATCATTGACAAATAGAGCTCAGTCTGAGAGAAAGACCTCAGTCTGAGAGAGCCCTCAGTGTGAGAAAGCCTCAGTGGGAGAAAGGCTGGCTGAGGGAGGAAAGGCCTCAGTGGCAGAAAGGCTGGCTGTGGGGAAAAGGCCTCCTTTTGTGAAGAGATGGCCACTCCCTTTATTGAAAAGGAATGTCATCTTGGTGTGTCGAAGAGATCATTGACAAATAGAGCTCAGTCTGAGAGAAAGACCTCAGTCTGAGAGAGCCCTCAGTGTGAGAAAGCCTCAGTGGGAGAAAGGCTGGCTGAGGGAGGAAAGGCCTCAGTGGGAGAAAGGCTGGCTGTGGGGAAAAGGCCTCCTTTTGTGAAAAGATGGCCACTCTCTTTATTGAAAAGGAATGTCATCTTGGTGTGTCGAAGAGATCATTGACAAATAGAGCTCGGTCTGAGAGAAAGGCCTCAGTCTGAGAGAGCCCTCAGTATGAGAAAGCCTCAGTGGGAGAAAGGCTGGCTGAAGGGGAAACGGCCTCAATGGGAGAAAGGCTGGCTGAGGGAGGAAAGGCCTCAGTGGGAGAAAGGCTGGCTGTGGGGGGAAAGGAAAGGGTGTGAGGAATGATGGGAGTTGCAGTCCAAAACATCCTGAGGGCCAAAATTTGCCTAGGCCTTCTCTGGAGTCAAATCCAGTTCCTTCAGTGGCACATTGAATGCTTTTGCTGTTGTTGCATATTGTTGTGGTTCCTCATTTTCCTCTGCTTTTGGTGACTATATCAATTTGATCAGGAGGATACAGCCAATCTCTTACTGGATTTCACTCGGTTCAGCGAAACGGGGAAGTTAATGCTTGGGAAAGGCAGGCTTTTAAAGTTTGTCCGGCTGTTAAAACCTTCCTCCGCAGAAAGTATCCTAGCTCTGTGTATCTTTGGCTTTATCTGAGGCCATGTTTACTTTCTGGGGGAGGCTGGGCAAGGAGGGGAGAGCCAGGCCTTGTTTTAGGAATCCTTTGGCCAGGGATGACTCACAGGAACTGTATGCGTTCCTCAGTTGGCAGATCATGTGAGCCACGAGTTGCTGTTTTGAGAACTTCCCAAACTTTTGCACAGCAGAGGTGTGGCACCCGAGGACCAGCTCATTGCAAGGCTTAAGCCACGTCGAAATATGTGAAAGCCTGTCACAAGAAAGGGAGCAGGCTTCCTTTCTCCTGACTCAATGCAGCCATGGGTTCAAATTTCAGGAATTTGAATTAGGAAGAACTTCCTGACTGTCGGAGCTGTTTAGCTGTGGAACTCTCTGCCTTTGGAGGCTTTTAAACAGAGTTGATGTGGTAGAGCAGTGTTTCTCAACCTTCCTAATGCTGCGACCCTTTAATACAGCGCCTCACGTTGTGGTGACCCCCAACCATAATATTATTATGATTTCTACTTCCTAATTGTAATTGTGTTCCTGTTATGAATCATAATGTAAATATCTGAAATGCAGGATGCATTTTCATTCACTGGACCCAGTGACCACTGGGACCACCTGGACTGGTTTATGCAATCAGAGCCTTTGCAGTTCTATTTTGAGGTCTTGATAGTGGCTGAGTTTCTCCTGTTGTTTTTCCTCAATGCAACACTCACCTAGAACTGAGACATCCAGACTTTTTTCTTTTCCACAATCGTGATGTCTGGTGTATTGTGTTCCAAAACTTTGTCGGTCTGGATTTGAAAGTCTCGCAGTATTTTTGCGTGTTCATTTTCCACTACCTTTGCAGGTTGATGATCCCACCAATTCTTTGCTGTGGCAGGTGGTTCTTATAGAATCATAGAATCAAAGAGTTGGAAGAGACCTCCTGGGCCATCCAGTCCAACCCCATTCTGCCAAGAAGCAGGAATATTGCATTCAAATCACCCCTGACAGATGGCCATCTAGCCTCTGCTTAAAAGCTTCCAAAGAAGGAGCCTCCACCACACTCCGGGGCAGAGAGTTCCACTGCTGAACGGCTCTCACAGTCAGGAAGTTCTTCCTCATGTTCAGATGGAATCTCCTCTCTTGTAGTTTGAAGCCATTGTTCCGCGTCCTAGTCTCCAAGGAAGCAGAAAACAAGCTTTCTCCCTCCTCCTCCCTGTGGCTTCCTCTCACATATTTATTATACATGGCTATCATATCTCCTCTCAGCCTTCTCTTCTTCAGGCTAAACATGCCCAGTTCCCTAAGCCGCTCCTCATAGGGCTTGTTCTCCAGACCCTTGATCATTTTAGTCGCCCTCCTCTGGACACATTCTTGTGACATAACTTCCAGTGAATCGTCCGTGCCACAGAGTTGTGTCTTTGTTTGTAATCTGTCTGTGCGATTTTCTTGCAGCAGCTGAGGATATGATCCATGGTTTCATCCGCTTCCTTGCACAGTCTGCATTTTGGGTCATCTGTTGATTTTTCGATCCTGGCCTTAATGGCCTTTGTTCTGATGGCTTGCTCCTGGGCTGCAAGAATCGGGCCTTCTATTGTCGAAGGCTTTCATGGCCGGAATCACTGGGTTGTTGTAGGTTTTTTTCGGGCTATATGGCCATGTTCTAGAGGCATTTTCTCCTGACGTTTCGCCTGCATTTATGGCAAGTACCCTCAGAGGTAGTGAGGTCTGTTGGAACTAGGAAAAAGGGTTTATATATCTGTGGAATGACCAGGGTGGGACAAAGGACTCTAGGAAGATGAAAGGCACTGCAGACTACTTCAACCAGAGAAGTCAGCCATAGCAGAGCACCTGATGAACCAACCTGGACACTGCATATTATTTGAGAACACAGAAATGCTGGACCACTCTCACAACCACCATGTCAGACTACACAGAGAAGCCATTGAAATACACAAGCATGTGGACAATTTCAACAGAAAGGAGGAAACCATAAATGAACAAAATCTGGCTACCAGTATTAAAAAAAACTCTAAAATTGCAACAGCACAACAACAGAGAGGAAACAAACAAGGACATCTAATCACCTCTCAACAAAAGATTGCTCCAGGCACTGCCAGGCCATCAAATTCTAATCAAGGTGCTCAGTTGAAACATTCACACCTAGGTGTAGCAGACAAGAGTCCTTTGTCCCACCCTGATCATTCCACAGATATATAAACCCATTTTCCTAATTCTAACAGATCTCACTACCTCTGAGGATGCTTGCCATAGATGCAGGCGAAATGTCAGGAGAGAATGCCTCTAGAACATGGCTATATAGCCCGAAAAAACTTACAACAACCCAGTGATTCCGGCCACAAAAGCCTTCGACAATACAAGGTGGTCATTTGAAACATTCACCCCTAGCTCCAGCAGACAAGAGTCCTTTGTCCCACCCTGGTCATTCCACAGATATATAAACCCCTTTTTCCTAGTTCCAACAGACCTCACTACCTCTGAGGATGCTTGCCATAGATGCAGGCGAAACGTCAGGAGAAATGCCTCTAGAACATGGCCATGTAGCCTGAAAAACCCTACATCAGGCCTTCTTCTGTCTCCTTCTTCAGGGTTCCATTCGTGAGCCATAGCCAGGTCTTCTCCTTGTCAACTTTTCCTTCCATTTTGTCAAGGGACTGCCCTTGCAGTGCTTTGTGGTGCCAGCTGTCAGCTCTGGTTTGGAGGTCAGTTTTCTTGTACTGACTCTTTGTCCGCTGTGCTTTGAGAAGTTTCTGATTATTGACTTCAATTAAAGCAGGTTCTTGGCTTTCCTTGACATATTCTGCCAGGGCATCGCATTTTTCTTCTTCGACTGCTTGTTTTACTTGTAAAACTCCTCTGCCACCAGAATTTCTAGGCAGATAGAAATTATTATTATTATTATTATTATTATTATTATTATTATTATATCACCAGCCTCAACCTTTCTACTAACTAACACGATTCTCTTTTCTTTCTAGGTAACGTGGCGCTTGAGAACTTACTCATCAAAGAGAATGCACTGGTGAGCAATCTGTTGTTAGGAGATCAGTTAGGGGAAGACTGAATGTTGTGTCTCCCAAAGAACAAATCGCCTCAAGCCACTTTCCCCCTCTTCCTCATAGACTCTTATATAATCTTTTCCGCCTACTGCATTCTGTATAAATGTATTTGAAGATCTGTTCACAAGCTTCCCACAACCAAATCTATTGTAGGGTTGACACCGTTTTCTTTTCTGCATGTTGCAAAAGCAAACCACACAAATCAGGGCGTGGGGAAGACGATTGAACAACTCCTAGTCAAAGCAGTGCTCCACTTAGTATCAATAAAGTGGAGAAAGTATTTAGAATGGTTAACGTTTATATTACGGGTGCAAATATCAGGCCTTAGATATTGTGTTTGATGTCTAACGTCTTTCTGATCAGTCATTAATATGTTTTCTTTTCCCCCTTAGAGTGAATTGGACGTACCTTTCCGTGTAAAGGCTGGGCAGATAGGTAAGCTTCATGTTCTAAGGTATGTTTTGATTTAGAGGCTGTATTGAAATTGCTACTCTATGTTAAAGTTTTGGTGTATAGCTCTATGTTTACATATGGCAGATAGGGAAGAATAGACACAGACAGGGTAGCAACAACAGAGATAGGATTCATTTGCATATGTGAAGCCGATTGGTCATAAGCAGATTAGTGTAGGCCCAGGATTTGAAAAGGCTGCTAGGCCAAAATGACAGTTGGGGAGAGCAGAGCTGAACATTCCAAAGGGGCGGAGCTAAGGTTCTAAAAGAGGCAGTTAGAGTGAGGGAATTTGAAAATGACAGTTAGGAATCTGTTTGTGAAGAGAAGAGTTGGTTTTTGAGTGCCCGATAGAAATAAGCAGTTATGAAGTTGTGTTAAAGACTTCTGATATAGAGGAGCAGTTAGTTAACTAGAGTTTTAAGGAACATAAAGAAGGCTAGTGTTGCCTTAGTTCAGAATATTATTCAGCCAAGAGTGTGTAAAGCAAGTAACATGTTTGTGAATGTGAAACATTGATAGTTTATTTCAGAAAAGTTAACCAAGTAAATGATACTGACTGTAAGCCTCAAGATTGCAACAAAACACAAATGTAACCACAAGCGTTGGAGCCAGAAGTTATAAATAAACTGTGTTACTTGGTTATACACAAGAGTGTTTCATTGCCTGTGATATAAAGTACAAAGGTTCAACAGCATACAGAAAGTCCCAGCCAATATAAAAGAAGAAAGTGAACTAACATAAGGCACCAAACTGGTTTTTAAAAGAGGAAATAGCTTCTCTCCCTCGCCATAGAGGTGATGAATAAATGGGAAACTGAGTCACACTTTGGCAGCTTGATACATTTGCATTGGATTTTTTAAAAGAACCTTCAGAGCGGTGTTTCTCAACCTGGGGGTTGCGACCCCTGAGGGGGTCACGAGGGGGTTTCAGAGGGGTCGTCAAAGACCACCTTAGGAACCCCTCTAGCAGAGAAGGCTGAAGATCTCTCCGCCTGTCCTTCTCTTCCTTTTTGGAAACACACGGTGAATCCTCCCACCAAAAGCTGTGTAGTGAATCTTACCTAGTAGGCTGAAAAGGAAGCCTGGATAACAGTATGGCAAACCTCTATTTTGAGAGTGTATGCCAGGGAAGCAGCCATCTTGAGTGAGGATAGCTAGAAGATGGGAGGAATTTGAGGTCTCACGGGATTGGCTAGAGCAGAGAGGAGGAGCCATGTCTGAGGAGGGAAAAGATTTCAGCTTCTGTGGAGATGGAGATTGAGAGTTGGTGGGAGAAGAAGTGTTTTTGAAACTTGGTTTTCAGAGAGAGAGAGCGTCTGTGTCAGGTTAGGGCTGATTAGCTGACAGGTAAGGTCGGACAGCTACCTGATTTCTTGTGGGAGATTACACAAGGGATTAGCTCTCTAGACTGAGTTAGTTAGCAGTAAGAACCCTGGAAGAGTTAGCTGATAACTCAGGGGACTACCTAGGTTAGGTTAGTCAGTGACTCATTACTATTTCTCTGAAGTAGAGTGAGGGATTTCTGTAACCAGCAGTTATATCTGCTTGATTAGCTCTGTATGTAACGAAGTGAAGACACTCTTTTCAAGTAACCATCAGGCTACAGTACACTTTTGTAACAAGTCAAGCATTTTGTGCCTCTCAGAAGAAGTTGGTTTTCTGTTTTTATAAATAAATCTTTTTCTATTTAACTTTCAAAAAGGTCTCTATCGTTCCTCAATCTATCTGTAATCCTTTGTGATTTATTTATTTATCGTGTCATCAGCAACTATACTATTATATTACAATTCCAACAGAACAAAACAAACACACAGATTTTTAAAAAACAGATTTTGCAAATTTGGTAGTTGGTTAAATGTCCTTTGACCAGTATCTGGCCACTTGGAGTGCCTCTGGTGTTGCTGCAAGAAGGTCCTCCATTGTGCATGTGGCAGGGCTCAGGGTGCATTGCAGCAGGTGGTCAGTGGTTTGCTCTTCTCCGCACTCGCATGTCGAGGATTCCACTTTGTGGCCCCATTTCTTGAGGTTGGCTCTGCATCTCGTGGTGCCAGAGCGCAGTCTGTTCAGCGCCTTCCAAGTCGCCCAGTCTTCTGTGTGCCCAGGGGGGAGTCTCTCATCTGGTATCACCCATGGATTGAGGTGCTGGGTTTGGCCTGCCACTTTTGGACTCTCGCTTGCTGGGGTGTTCCAGCGAGTGTCTCTGTAGATCTAAGAAAACTATGTCTTGATTTAAGTTGTTGACGTGCTGGCTGATACCCAAACAGGGATGAGCTGGAGATGTCTCTGCCTTGGTCCTTTCACTATTGGCTGCTACTTCCCGGCGGATGTCAGGTGGTGGAATACCGACTAAGCAGTGTAATTTCTCCAGTGGTGTAGGGCGCAGGCACCCCGTGATAATGCGGCATGTCTCATTAAGAGCCACATCCACTGTTTTAGTGTGGTGAGATGTGTTCCACACTGGGCATGCATACTCAGCAGCAGAGTAGCATAGCGCAAGGGCAGATGTCTTCACTGTGTCTGGTTGTGATCCCCAGGTTGTGCCAGTCAGCTTTCGTATGATATTGTTTCTAGCACCCATTTTTTGCTTGATGTTCAGGCAGGGCTTCTTGTAGGTCAGAGCATGGTCCAGAGTGACTCCCAGGTATTTGGGTGTGTTGCAATGCTCCAGTGGGATCCTTTGTGATAAGTTAGGCCAAGTGTAGGACATTCAGTTGGGCAATTTATAGACAGAGGAGTGTCAGTTTGTTATGTATACTTAAGCTAAATGGTTTAATTATACTTTGCTTGGTATCATTGTGTTTCTTTTTGGTAGCGCTGAAATGTCTTTCCTTCTTCCATTGCAGTGTGTTATGTTTTTGATGACGAGAATGAGCTACAGGCCCATACATCACCAATAACATTCAAGTACCTTCTTCTAAAAGGATTTAGTTGCTTAGCAAATAATGGAAGTGGAATCTGGGATTTCAGGCTTGTTGTTGTTGTTGTTGTTCATTCGTTCAGTCGTCTCCGACTCTTCGTGACCTCATGGACCAGCCCAAGCCAGAGCTCCCTGTCCGCCGTCACCACCCCCAGCTCCTTCAAGGTCAGTCCAGTCACTTCAAGGATGCCATCCATCCATCTTGCCCTTGGTCGGCCCCTCTTCCTTTTGCCTCACTTTCCCCAGCATAATTGTTTTCTCTAGGCTTTCCTGTCTCCTCATGATGTGGCAAAGTACTTCAACTTTGTCTCTAGTATCCTTCCCTCCAATGAGCAGTCGGGCTTTATTTCCTGGAGGATGGACTGGTTGGATCTTCTCGCAGTCCAAGGCACTCTCAGCACTTTCCTCCAACACCACAGCTCAAAAGCATCGATCTTCCTTCGCTCAGCCTTCCCTAAGGTCCAGCTCTCACATCCGTAGGGTACTACAGGGAATACCATGGCTTTGACTAGGCGGATCTTTGTTGCCAGTCTGATGTCTCTACTCTTCACTATTTTATCGAGACTGGACATTGCTCGCCTCCCAAGAAGTAAGCGTCTTCTGATTTCCTGGCCACAGTCTGCATCTGCAGTAATCTTTCCACCTAGAAATACAAAGTCTGTCACGGCCTCCACGGTTTCTCCCTCTATTTCCAGTTGTCAATCATTCTTGTTGCCATAATCTTGGTTTTTTTGACGTTTAGCTGCAACCCGGCTTTTGCGCTTTCTTCTTTCACCTTGATTAGAAGGCTCCTCAGCTCCTCCTCGCTTTCGGCCATCAGGGTGGTGTCATCTGCATATCTGAGGTTGTTAATGTTTCTCCCAAACATTCTAACATTCCTAGCGAATATACAGTGGAAGTGAAGAACAGATTTGAAGGACTAGATTTAGTAAACAGAGTCCCAGAAGAACTATGGACAGAAGTCCGCGACATTGTTAAGGAGGCGGCAACAAAGTACGTTCCAAAGAAAAAGAAAACCAAGAAGGCAAAATGGTTGTCTGCTGAGACACTGGAAGTAGCCCAAGAAAGGAGGAAAGCAAAAGGAAACAGTGAAAAGGGGAGATATGCCCAGTTAAATGCGCAATTCCAGAGGTTAGCCAGAAGAGATAAGGAACTATTTTTAAATAAGCAATGCATGGAAGTGGAAGAAGACAACAGAATAGGAAGGACAAGAGACCTCTTCCAGAAAATTAGAAACATTGGAGGTAAATTTCATGCAAAAATTGGTATGATAAGAAACAAAGATGGCAGGGACCTAACAGAAGCTGAAGAGATCAAGAGAAGGTGGCGAGACTATACAGAAGATCTGTATAGGAAGGATAATAATATTGAGGATAGTTTTGACGGTGTGGTGAATGAATTAGAACCAGACATCCTGAGGAATGAGGTTGAATGGGCCTTAAGAAGCATTGCTAACAACAAGGCAGCAGGAGACGACGGGATCCCAGCTGAACTGTTTAAAATCTTAAAAGATGGTGCTGTCAAGGTGATGCATGCCATTTGCCAGCAAATATGGAAAACACAAGAATGGCCATCAGACTGGAAAAAATCAACTTATATCCCCATACCAAAAAAGGGAAATGCGAAAGACTGCTCCAACTTCCGTACAGTGGCCCTTATTTCTCATCATGCCAGGAAGGTAATGCTCAAGATCCTGCAAGGAAGACTCCAGCAATACATGGAGCGAGAGTTGCCAGATGTTCAAGCTGGGTTTAGAAAAGGCAGAGGAACCAGAGACCAGATTGCCAATATCCCGATGCTGGATAATGGAGAAAGGCAGGGAGTTTCAGAAAAACATCTACTTCTGCTTCATTGACTATTCTAAAGCCTTTGACTGTGTGGATCATAATAAATTGTGGCAAGTTCTTAGTGGGATGGGCATCCCAAGCCACCTTGTCTTTCTCCTGAGGAATCTGTACAAGGACCAAGTAGCAACAGTCAGAACTGACCACGGAACAGGAGACGGGTTCAAGATTGGGAAAGGCGTCCGGCAAGGCTGCATCCTCTCACCCAACCTTTTTAACTTGTATGCAGAACACATCATGCGATGTGCGGGGCTGGATGAATGCAAGGCTGGGGTGAAAATTGCTGGAAGAAACATTTCAGGCTTATAGTACAGGAAACCTGCAGTACATGCTTGGCTCTCTTGATTAGATTTTACTTCCTGGATGAAGTGCTGCTTATCTGGTCGCTGCAAAAAAAGCAGGTCACCATTAATGTCACATTTTTAGGCTTGGCTTTGTTTGGATTGGTGCTTCTGAGCAGTTTACTGTGAGAAAAGGTCCAAGTTCCTGCCTTCTGAGCCATGGAATGCCATGCCAAGATCCATGTGTTGGGCTGAATACACAGTTTTATGTTGCTTTTATAGAGGGAGGTGCTTTTCCTTTACGAAAGAGAAACGAACAATGCCCTTGTTTGTTTCTGAACAGTTTGGGACTTCTGATAAGAAAACCATTGCTTTGCATTTCCTCCTCTATTACTTACTTAGGCGATCCCTCGAACAGTAGTAAAATGATATTGTCGAAGGCTTTCATGGCTGGAATCACTAGGTTCTTGTAGGTTTTTTCAGGCTATAGGGCCATGTTCTAGAGCAGGGGTAGGGAACCTTTGGCCCTCCAGCTGTGGTGGACTTCAACTCCCACAATTCCTTGAGGCTCGGCATTGGGCCAAGGTAAGCCTTTGGGGCGAATGCCGAGCCTCAAGGAATTGTGGGAGTTGAAGTCCACCACAGCTGGAGGGCCAAAGGTTCCCTACCCCTGTTCTAGAGGCATATCTCCTGACGTTTTGCCTGCATCTGTGGCAAGCATCCTCAGAGGTAGTGAGGTCCGTTGGAAATAGGAAAATGGGTTTATATATCTGTGGAATGACTGGGGTGGGGCAAAGAGCTCTCTGCTGAAGCTAGGTGTGAATGTTTCAGCTGACCACCTTCAACCAGGCACATCTTAACACCTCTCAACAGAACATTTTCTCAGGCTCAGCCAGGCCTTCAAATGCTAATGAAGGTGGTCAGCTGAAACATTCACACCTAGCTCCAGCAGGGAAGAGCTCTTTGCCCCACCCCAGCCATTCCACAGATATATAAACCCATTTTCCTATTCCAACAGACCTCACTACCTCTGAGGATGCTTGCCATAGATGCAGGCGAAACATCAGGAGAAATGCCTCTAGAACATGGCTCTATAGCCCGAAAAAACCTACAAGAACCTAGTAAAATGATAGTTATGAAGTAGCAGTGGAAATAATGTTATGGTTGTGGGTCAACGCAACAGGAGGAACTGTATTAAGGGGTTGTGGCATTAAGAAGGTTGAGAACCACTGGTGTAAGTGGACATCCCCAACACACACACATAGAATCATAGAATCAGCATATAGATCTCATCTGCTGTGACATACTGTGTTTTTGTGTCAGAATAATAATAATAATAATAATAATAATAATAATAATAATAATAATGACTCTGGCATAGAATCCTAGAATCAAAGAGTTGGAAGAGACCTCCTGGGCCATCCAGTCCAACCCCATTCTGCCAAGAAGCAGGAATATTGCATTCAAATCACCCCCGACAGATGGCCATCCAGCCTCTGTTTAAAAGCTTCCAAAGAAAGAGCCTCCACCACACTCCGGGGCAGAGAGTTCCACTGCTGAACGGCTTTGACAAACAGGAAGTTATAGAATCATAGAATCAAAGAGTTGGAAGAGACCTCCTGGGCCATCATCCAGTCCAACACAATTCTGCCAAGAAGCAGAATATTGCATTCAAATCACCCCTGACAGATGGCCATCCAGCCTCTGTTTAAGAGCTTCCATAGAAGGAGCACCCACCACACTCCGGGGCAGAGAGTTCCACTGCTGAACGGCTCTCACAGTCAGGAAGTTCTTCCTTATGTTCAGATGGAATCTCCTCTCTTGTAGTTTGAAGCCATTGCTCCATTGCGTCCTCGTCTCCAGGGAAGCAGAAAACAAGCTTGCTCCCTCCTCCTCCCTATGGCTTCCTCTCACATATTTATACATGGCTATCATATCTCCTCTCAGCCATCTCTTCTTCAGGCTAAACATGCCCAGCTCCTTAAGCCGCTCCTCATAGGGCTTGTTCTCCAGACCCTTGATCATTTGAGTCGCCCTCCTCTGGACACATTCCAGCTTGTCAACATCTCTCATACAATACCGGGATTGTGGTGCAACTGGCTGAGTGTCAGGTGCATTAAGATCACTCTGACCAAAAGGTCATGAGTTCGAAACCAGCCCGGGTTGGAGTGGGCTTCCAACCAATTGTGTAGCCTGTTGCTGACCTTTGCAACCCGAAAGACAGTTGCATCTGTCAAGTAGGAAAATAAGGTACCACCTTAAAGTGTGGGGAGGCTAAATTAACTAATTTATGAGCCATAAAGAAGACTCCAGCAAAGCATTCCAGCGGGGAAGCATGCGGGGAATGCGGAAGTGCTTCATCAGCGTCACAGGTGGACGATGAAAGCGACAGCTCCCCTGGCGGCCAGAAAAAAGTTAACTGGCCTCTGTGTGTCTGTATATGTTTGTATGTCAAAAATTGGCATTGAATGTTTGCCATATATGTGTACACTGTGATCTGCCCTGAGTCCCCTGCGGGGTGAGGAGAAGGGCGGAATAGAAAAGCTGTAAATAAATAAATACATAAATAAATAATACCAGAGTGAAGACAGAAGAGAGCAGAAGACATTTCCATCTTGCCTTTACTAATAATATAATATAGTATATTGTATATACATATAATATTTATAATATTACTAGCCGTCCCCTGCCAGGCGTTGCTGTGGCCCAGTCTGCTGATCTAGGAAATAAAGTAATTGGAAAGTGTTGGTTTCTAATCTATGTAATGTCTTTCTGCTTGTGGGTAAACAATATTTGTTGCTGTTTGTTTGTCAGTGTGGATGTGGAGAGTGTCTGGTTTGCCTACTCAGGCAACATATCATTGTTCTTCTTTAGGGGTCCCTTTCAGATCTATGTGTGTGTGTGAATCATATCTATCTATCTCTATCTATGGCTGGATGGCTCTTTGTTGGGAGGGCTTTGATTACATTTTCTTGCTCTGGTTAAGGGAGTTGGACTGGATGGTCTTAAGTATTTTCTGATGGTCATGGGGGTTCTGTGTGGGAAGTTTGCCCCAATTCTGTCGTTGGTGGGGTTCAGAATGCTCTTTGATTGTAGCTGAACTATAAATCCCAGTAACTACAACTCCCAAATGTCAAGGTCCATTTTCCCCAAACTCCATTTGTGTGCATATTTGGGCATATGGAATATTCATGCCCAGTTTTGTCCAGATCCATCATTGTTTGAGTCCAAAGTGCTGTCTGGAACTACAACTCCCAAACTCAAGATCAATGCCCACGAAACCCTTCTAGTGTTTTCTGTTGATCATGTGGGATTAACAGAACTCAAAAACCACTGGACGAATTGACACCAAATTTGGACACAAGACACCTAACAACCCAATGTATGTCCTTCACGCAAAAAAAAAAATGATTTTGTTATTTGGAAATTGTAGTCGCTGGGATTTATAGTTCACCTACAATCAAAGAGCATTCTGAACCCCACCAACGATAGAATTGGACCAAGCTTCGCACACAGTTCTCCCATGACCAACAGAAAATACTGGAAGGGTTTGGAGGGGAATGTTCTTTTGTTTTGGAGTTGTAGTTCACCTACATCCAGAGAGCACTGTGGACTCAAACAATGATGGATCTGGATCAACCTCTACACGAATACTCAATATGCCCAAATGTGAACACTGGTGGAGTTTGTGGAAAATAGAATCTTGACATTTGGGAGTTGTAGTTGCTAGGATTTCTAGTTCACCTACAATCAAAGAGCATTCTGAACTCCACCAATTGTGGCATTGAACCAAACATGGCACACAGGACTTCCATGACCAACAGAAAATACTGGAAGGGTTTGGAGGGGGATGTCCTTTGGTTTTGGAGTTATAGTTCACCTACATCCAGAGATCACTGTGGACTCAAACAATGATGGATCTGGACCAAACTTGGCACAAATACTCAATCTGCCCAAACGTGAACACTGGTGGAGTTTGGGGGAAATAGACCTTGACATTTGGGATTTGTAGTTGCTGAGATTTATAGTTCACCTACAATCAGAGCATTCTGAACCCCACCAACGATAGAATTGGGCCAAACCTCCCACACAGAACCCCCATGAGGGCCACAGCAACCCGTGGCAGGGGATGGCTAGTAAAAACATAAAAAACCATGGCAGTTTATGTGTCCTAGGTGAATTGAATCCCAAATTCCCTTTGTTTTTAGACAAGCTCACCCTGAAGATCCCTTGGAAGAATTTATATGGCGAAGCCGTCGTTGCGACCCTAGAAGGCTTATACCTCCTCGTTGTTCCCGGGGCAAGTAAGTCTATTCCAAAGGCAATTCAAACAATAATAAAACCTTTAATCTGATTGATCTCTTGTATCTTGTGCGGAATTTGAAGCCAATGTTTGCATTCTTGCTTTTGAGGCAGTCCTGATTTGAGCTGCCCTAAGCCAGTCCTGATCCCAAGTCTTTGTTTGGACTAAAACTGTAAACCTCTGACTTCTAGGCATAAAATATGACGCCGAAAAAGAAGAAAAGTACCTGCAGGACAATAAGCAGAAGGAGCTGGCAAGGATCGAGGATGCCTTGCGCAAAGCAGCTGAAAAGGGTAAGGAATTCACGAATTGATCCTGAAATTAGACCCGTTCTGTAAAGTCCTGGTTGTTTGGTTGTTCAGACATGATGCTGGAGAATTGGAAATATTGGTTCAGTCTGGAAAAAACATTAGCTCTCTAGACTGAGTTAGAAGTAAGAACTCAGGAAAGTTAGCTGATAACTCAGGGGACTACCTAGGTTAGGTTAGTCAGTGACTCATTACTATTGTGCTGTTAGTAACGGTTTCTATGTCTTGTATCTCCTCCCTCTAACTCTGGTATGCATGTATATATTTCCTTACAATCTATATAAATAAAAAATGTAATGTTCGTTTGTGGGATTAACAGAACTCAAAAACCAGTGGGCGAATCGACACAAAATTTGGACACACAACTGGTTATTTCTTTACTGTCTTCTTGTAGTGGTGATATAATTTTTTCAATCATGCAGAGACTGAATTGCCTTGCATCCCCAAAAATGGTGTATCATTGTTTTTGTATCTGATTATTTGTGTTCCCATCCACCCGCTGTATTATTACATTATATTATATCTTTATTTGCATCCCACTTTTATCCCTGTGATTATGTCAACATTTGCACTGTAGACACCAAAAAAGAAGACTATTGGACTTTTCCTTATCAAATACACTGGGACTCGATAATATATTTTAAGGAGTTGTGCAAATTGTAACTGAACTCTGTCAATCAGTATTTTTTGTCCAAATTTCAGTATTTGTTTGCCTGGAAGAAGAAAGATTTGCCTTTTTGGTGGTTCAGTACTCCTATAGCTCTTTTTGCTTAATGTAAATGCACCGGATTAACATGCGTCATTGTTATCCTTGAGAGTCTAACACAGGCCTGGGCAAATTTTGGCCCTCTATAATAATAATAATAATAATAATAATAATAATAATAATAATAATTTAATAAAACTTTATTTATACCCTGCCACCATCTCCCCAAGGGGACTTGGGGCGGCTTACATGACGCCAAGCGGCTTACATGAGGCCAAGCTCTAGAGAGTCTGAGAGAGCCCTCAGTGTGAGAAGGACTCAGTGGGAGAAAGGCCTCAGTCTGAGAGAGCCCTCAGTGTGAGAAGGACCCAGTGGGAGAAAGGCCTCAGAGCCCTCAGTGTGATATAATATATATTATATAATAATATATAATATTATTATAATATTATAATAGGAAGGTTGGGCTGATGATAACATGAGGCAGGGTTTGGATGTGAAACTGTAAATATGCTTTATACTCGTTATTTCAGCAGTCCAGGTGCCTTTATCTCATCAAACTCATCAGATGACATTTTATGTCATCGTATCCAGCAATGCATTGCCTGTGTTGCCTCAGTGTGAGAAGGCCTCAGTGGGAGAAAGGCCTCAGTCTGAGAGAGCCCTCAGTGTGAGAAGGCCTCAGTGGGAGAAAGGCCTCAGTCTGAGAGAGCCCTCAGTGTGAGAAGGCCTCAGTGGAAGAAAGGCCTTAGTCTGAGAGAGCCCTCAGTGTGAGAAGACCTCAGTGGGAGAATGGCCTCAGTCTGAGAGAGCCCTCAGTTTTAGAAGGCCTCAGTGGAAGAAAGGCCTCAGTCTGTGAGAGCCCTCAGTGTGAGAAGGCCTCAGTGGGAGAAGCCTCAGTCTGAGAGAGCCCTCAGTGTGCGAAGGCCTCAGTGGAAGAAAGGCCTTAGTCTGAGAGAGCCCTCAGTGTGAGAAGGCCTCAGTGGGTGAATGGCCTCAGTCTGAGAGAGCCCTCAGTGTAAGAAGTCCTCAGTGGGAGAATGGCCTCAGTCTGAGAGAGCCCTCAGTGTGAGAAGGCCTCAGTGGGAGAAAGGCCTCAGTCTGAGAGAGCCCTCAGTGTGAAAAGGTCTCAGTGGGAGAAAAGCCTCAGTCTGAGAGAGGCCTCAGTATGGGAAGGACTCATTGGGAGAAAGGCCTCAATCTGAGAGAGCCCTCAGTGTGAGAAAGGCTGCTTAAGCTGGCTGAGGGAAAAGGAAGGGGCCTGAGGCTGTTAGGGAATGGTGGGAGTTGGAGTCCAAAACATCTGGAGGGCCAAAGTTGGCCCATGCCTGGTCTAACATCTAGTTCAAAGACGGAATTTTTTTATGCCAGGTTCACGCTGTAGGTTGGAATCCAACTGTGGCCCTAAAAGAGATGGTTGGGAAAAGTTCAATGGTCTTTGTACATCCTTTCGAAAGTGGTTCTGTTTTGCAAATATCTGTTATTGGTGGTTGAAACTGAAAAGTAGATGGTGGTCTTTTAAAAAACGTATGCTTTCCCATTACTGCTGTCACGTGGATGAAGGTGACCATTCCGATTTCATTTATGGCCTGGAGAACATAGTGTACAAGGAGGCCAAGCCTGGTGGGTATGCATGTTTATTAATGGAGGGACAATGGGGTCTTTAGAAAAGCAGACTGCATTCATTCCCATGGTAGGGATGGAGGCAAACCAGAACTATCGGCATGTTTTGTGACTCCCTGAACTACGTTAACCCCCTTGTACGCATTTGGAGACAACCTTTGAGCCATTAACAAGCATTCATCCAAGTTGTCAATCTTTATTTCGACTTTCTTATTTTGCTGTTTGCGAGCAGGCCTCAGTGGGAGAAAGGCCTCAGGCTGAGAGAGCCCTCAGTGTTAGAAGGACTCAGTGGGGGAAAGGCCTCAGTCTGAGAGAGCCCTCAGTGTGAGAAGGACTCAGTGGGAGAAAGGACTTAGTCTCAGAGAGCCCTCAGTGTGAGAAGGACTCAGTGGGAGAAAGGCGTCAGTCTGAAAGAGCCCTCAGTGTGAGAAGGTCTCAGAGGGAGAAAGGCCTCAGTCTGAGAGAGCCCTCAGTGTGAGAAGGACCCAGTGGGAGAAAGGCCTCAGTCTGAGAGAGCCCTCAGTGTGAGAAGGCCTCAATGGGAGAACGACGTCAGTCTGAAAGCGCCCTCGTGTGAGAAGGTCTCAGTGGGAGAAAGGCCTCAGTCTGAGAGAGCCTTCAGTGTGAGAATGCCTCAGTGGGAGAAAGGCCTCAGTCTGAGAGAGCCTTCAGTGTGAGAAGGCTTCAGTGGGAGAAAGGCCTCAGTGTGAGAGAGCCCTCAGTGTGAGAAGGCCTCAGTGGGAGAAAGATGGGATATGATAAAGATAGCGCTGTGTAATGCTATTATTTTTGTTCCTGGGTTATACATGTCATTTTATGTCATCGTATCCAGCAATGCATTGCCTGTGTTGTCGAAGGCTTTCATGGCCGGATTCCCTGGGTTGCTGTGAGTTTTCCAGGCTGTCTGGCTATGTTCCGGCAGCATTCTCTCCTGACGTTTCAACCACATCTATGGCAGGCATCCTCAGAGGTTGTGAGGTCTTTTGGAAACTAGGCAAGTGGGGTTTGTGCATCTGTGGAATGTCCATAGTGGGAGAAAAAAAATCATAGAATCATAGAACCTCTGGACCTTGCTGGTGCACAGCCTCCTCAGCAGCGCAGGCTCACTCCTCGGGTTCGCGCTGCACCCGCGCATGGCCCAGGATCTCATCGAGGGGCACCCGCCCGCCTCGCACCGCCTCCTCGGCATTTCCCTCGGTGAGTGTCACAACCGCGACCATACTCGTAGCCCACTCTCTCTCCTCTCTTGCCCACTGGACACTTCACCTCCACGGGTGGCCCTGCCCTGTCAGGATATTTGAGTCAATACTATTGTTTGTATGGGTTTGATAATATTATAATGTAATACAATATACTACTACTACTACTAATAATAATATAATAAAATTATTTATTTTAAATTAAATGTTATTTTATTTATTTATTTACAGCATTTCTATTCCGCCCTTCTCCTCACCCCGCAGGGGACTCAGGGCGGATTACAGTGTACACATATATGGCAAACATTCAATGCCAATTTTTGATATACAAACATATACAGACATACACAGAGGCAATTTAACTTTTTCTGGCCGCCAGGAGAGCTGTCGCTTTCATCGTCCATCTGCGACGCTAATGAAGCACTTCCGCATTCCCCGCATGCTTCCCCACTGGAATTCTTTGCTGGAGTCTTCTTTATGGCCTCATAAATCAGTTAATTTAGCCTCCCCACACTTTAAGGTGGTACCTTATTTTCCTACTTGACAAATGCAGCTGTCTTTTGGGTTGCAAAGGTCGACAACAGTCTACACACAATTGGTTTAAAACCACTCCAACCCAGGCTGGCTTCGAACTCATGACCTTTTTTGGTCAGAGTGATCTTAATGCAGCTGACACTCAGCCTGCTGTGCCACAATCCCGGTGCTACTAATAATATTGCAGTATAATGTTATAGTACAATGTAATATATAATATTAATATTGTGCTATGGTAATAATATACCATATACCACTGCCCGGTGGTGCAGTGGGTTAAAGCGCTGAGCTGCTGAGCTTGTTGACCGAGAGGTCGCAGGTTCGATTCCGGGGAGCGGCGTGAGCTCCCGCTGTCAGCCCCAGCTTCTGCAAACCTAGCAGTTTGAAAACATGCAAATGTGAGTAGAGCAATAGGTACCGCTCCGGCGGGAAAGTAACGGTACTCCATGCAGTCATGCTGGCCACATGACCTTGGAGGTGTCTATGGACAACGCCGGCTCTTTGGCATAGAAACAGAGATGAGCACCACACCCCAGAGTCAGACAAGACTGGACTTAATGTTAGGGGACAACCTTTACCTTTTAATAATAGAATATATTGTATTTACTTTTTACTTGTAAGCCGCTCTGAGTCCCTTTCGGGGTGAGAAGGGCGGCATATAAATATTGTAAATAAATAAATGAAATAATTGAGTTGGAAGAGACCCGGTGGGCCATCCACTCCAACCCTATTCTGCCAAGAAAATTGCAAACCTACAACAACCCAGTGATTCCGGCCATGGAAGCCTTCGACAATACAATTTCAACCTAGTTTGTGGCAGCCACAAAAGCAGAGTTTCTGGAGTAGAACAACCGCTTTGCATGTTAGGACTGCATAAGCAGGAAACAACACTTTGTGTTGCATAGTGTAGTTGTATTGTGCAAAATTATTGAACACTGTTTCCTGTATATAAGAGCTTTGAATGCAATGGAATTCGTTTGACGGGCCTGGATAAATGTTTCCTTTAGGCATCCAGCATGTTTCTGGAAGAATTAAATGACTGTTTAGGTAAAAGGCTCGCTTTCCTCTGTAAACTTCTTCTGTTGTCTTTTGTCGCTTGTTTGGACACTTTGCCTAACTTTTTCCCCTTTCCCATTAACCTTGCTTGCGTTGGGAAGGACGTAAGTCTAAAAAGGCTAAAAAACGCTTTAAGAAACCCTTCAAAGGCCACGATCACGCCAAAGGTGGGTATTTATTTATCGTGTCATCAGCAACCATTGTATTACAATTCTAACAGAGCAAAACAAACACACAGATTAAAAAGAAAAAGGGAAAAAACACACACAGATTTTGCAAATTTGGTAGTTGGTTAAATGTCCTTTGACCAGTCTCTGTCCCCTTGGAGTGCCTCTGGTGTTGCCGCAAGAAGGTCCTCCATTGTGCATGTGGCAGGGGTCAGGTTGCATTGCAGCAGGTGGTCAGTGGTTTGCTCTTCTCCGCACTCGCATGTCGTGGATTCCACCCTGTAGCCCCATTTCTGAAGGTTGGCTCTGCATCTCGTGGTGCCAGAGCACAGTCTGTTCAGCGCCTTCCAAGTCGCCCAGAATTCTGTGTGCCCAGCGGGGAGTCTCTCATTTGGTCTCAGCCATGGGTTTGGGCCTGCCACTTTTGGACTCTCGCTTGCTGGGGTGTTCCAGCGAGTGTCTCTGTAGATCTAAGAAAACTATGTCTTGATTTAAGTCGTTGACGTGCTGGCTGATACCCAAACAGAGGATGAGCTGGAGATGTCTCTGCCTTGGTCCTTTCACTATTGGCTGCTACTTCCCGGCGGATGTCAGGTGGTGCAATGCTGGCTAAGCAGTGTAATTTCTCCAGTGGTGTAGGGCACAGACACCCTGTGATAATGCGGCATGTCTCCTTAAGAGTCACATCCACTGTTTTAGTGTGGTGAGATGTGTTCCACACTGGGCATGCATACTCAGCAGCAGAGTAGCAGCGCAAGGGCAGATGTCTTCACTGTGTCTGGTTGTGATCCCCAGGTTGTGCCAGTCAGCTTTCGTATGATATTGTTTCTAGCGCCCACTTTTTTGCTTGATGTTCAGGCAGTGCTTCTTGTAGGTCAGAGCACGGTCCAGAGTGACTCCCAGGTATTTGGGTGCGCTGCAATGCTCCAGTGGGATTCCTTCCCAGTTCATAATCCTCAGAGCTCGGGATGCTTGTCTGTTCTTAAGGTGAAAGGCACATGTCTGTGTTTTAGATGGATTAGGGATCAGCTGGTTTTCCCCGTAATAGGCAGTAAGAGCACCTAAAGCTTCGGAGAGCTTCTGTTCAACCATCTCAAAGCTCCCTGCTTGAGCGGTGATGGCACGATCATCAGCATAGATGAAGCTCTCAAAGGTGGGTAATAATAATAATAATAATAATAATAATAATAATAATAACAACACTTTATTTGTACCCCGCTACCATCTCCCCATGGGACTCGGTGCGGCTTATATGAGGCCGAGCCCAAACACAACAATACATGCAATAACAACACATTACAAGCAATTAAAAACACATAGACAATAAGATACACAACATTATCAATAAAACAACACATAATTAAAACAGTGGGTAAAACCAGCAAAGTGCGTTCATTCTGTTTGTGGCTCTGACATGTCGCTCGGGGAAGTTTGGTCCAATTCTATCGTTGGTGGGGTTCACAATGCTCCTTGATTGTAGGAGAACTATAAATCCCAGCAACTACAACTCCCAAATGTCAAGGTCTATTTTCCCCAAACTCCACCATTGTTCACATTTGGGCATATTGAGTATTTGTGCCAAGTTTGGTCCAGATCCATCGTTGTTTGAGTCCACAGGGCTCTCTGGATGTAGGTGAACTACAGCTCCCAAACTCAAGGTCAATGCCCACCAATCCCTTCCAGTATTTCCTCTTGGTCATGGGATTTCTGTGTGCCAAGTTTGATTCGATTACTTCATTGGTAGAGGTCAGATTACTCTTTGATTGCAGGTGAACTATAAATCCCAGCAATTACAACTCCCAAATGACAAACTCAATCCCTCCCCCAAACCCCACCAGTATTTTCTGTTGGTCATGGGAAATTCTGTGTGGGATATTTGGTCCAATTCTATCGTTGGTGAGGTTCAGAATGCTCCTTGATTGTAGGAGAACTATAAATCCTAGCAACTACAAATCCCAAATGTCAAGGTTTATTTTCCCCAAACTCCACCAGATTTGGTCATATTGAGTATTTGTGCCAAGTTTGGTACAGATCTATCGTTGGTGGGGTTCAGAATGCTCTTTGATAGTAGAACTATAAATCCCACCAACTACAACTCCCAAATGTCAAGGTCTATTTTCCCCAAACTCCACCAATGTTCACATTTGGGCATATTGAATATTTGTGCCAAGTTTGGTCCAGATCCATCGTTGGGCTCTCTGGGTGTAGGTGAACTACAACTCCCAAACTCAAGATCAATGCCCACCAAACCCTTCCAGAATCTTATAAAGATAGTGAGAACTCAGTGTAGCTCTATATTAATGAAATAGTCTGAGTTGCAAGTGGAGCGATAAAAGAAAACGAGCAGGCGCTCATCTACGCAATCTGTGTCCTAGATAAACCGAAGGAAGAGAAGAAAGACACCTTTCTGGAGAAGCTGGCGACGCAGGTCATCAAAAACGTCCAGGTCAAAATCACCAGCATCCACGTCAAGTACGAGGACGACGTGAGTGGCTGGGCTTCCCGTTAATGATGGCAAATAGGAAAAAACAAACAGACCCCAATCCTACTTCTGTGACGACGTTAAATATGACGCACGAGTAATAATTATTTCTCTTTCGTAGATTACGGATCCCAGCCGTCCGCTTTCGTTTGGAATGACTCTGGGAGAGCTCAGCTTATTGGTAAGGCCGGCCTGTTGTTGCCCGATTTAGATCCACCACTTTTGAAAAACCAATTCCATGTTTTTCAAAAGCCATAGAAAATCCCTAAACCCTGCCTAGAACACCACTTAGGTCTAGAGTAGGCATGGGCAAACTTCGGCCTTCCCTCCAGGTGTTTTGGACTTCAACTCCCACAATTCCTGACAGTCTCAGGCCCCTTCTTTTCCCCCCTCAGCCACTTAAGCGAGAAAGTCCTCAGTCTGAGAGAGCCCTCAGTGTGAGAAGGCCTCAGTGGGAAAAGGTCTCAGTCTGAGAGAGGCCTCAGTGTGAGAAGGCCTCAGTGGGAAAAAGGCCTCAGTCTGTGAGAGCCCTCAGTGTAAGAAGGCCTCAGTGGGAGAAAGGCCTCAGTCTGAGAGAGCCCTCAGTGGGAGGCCTCAGTGGGAGAAAGGCCTCAGTCTGAGAGAGCCCTCAGTGTGAGAAGCCCTAAAAGAACACTTAGGTCTAGAGTAGGCATGGGCAAACTTCGGCCTTCCCGCCAGGTGTTTTGGACTTCAACTCCCACAATTCCTGACAGTCTCAGGCCCCTTCCTTTCCCCCCTCAGCCGCTTAAGCGAGAAAGTCCTCAGTCTGAGAGAGCCCTCAGTGTGAGGCCTCAGTGGGAGAAAGGCCTCAGTCTGAGAGAGCCCTCAGTGTGAGAAGCCCTAGAAGAACACTTAGGTCTAGAGTAGGCATGGGCAAACTTCGGCCTTCCCTCCAGGTGTTTTGGACTTCAGCTCCCACAATTCCTGACAGTCTCCAGCCCTTTCCTTTTCCCCCTCAGCCGCTTAAGCGGGAAAGTCCTCAGTCTGATAGAGCCCTCAGTGTGAGAAGGCCTCAGTGGGAGAAAGGCCTCAGTCTGAAAGAGCCCTCAGTGTGAGAAGGCCTCAGTGGGAGAAAGGCCTCAGTCTGAAAGAGTCCTCAGTGTGAGAAGGCCTCAGTGGGAGAAAGGTCTCAGTCTGAGAGAGCCCTCAGTGTGAGAAGGCCTCAGTGGGAGAAAGGCCTCAGTCTGAGAGAGCCCTCAGTGTGAGAAGGCCTCAGTGGGAGAAAGGCCTCAGTCTGTGAGAGCCCTCAGTGTGAGAAGTTCTCAGTGGGAGAAAGGTCTCAGTCTGAGAGAGCCCTCAGTGTGAGAAGGCCTCAGTGGGAGAAAGGCCTCAGTCTGAGAGAGCCCTCAGTGTGAGAAGCCCTAGAAGAACACTTAGGTCTAGAGTAAGCATGGGCAAACTTCAGCGTTCCCTCCAGGTGTTTTGGACTTCCTACAATTCCTGACAGTCTCAGGCCCTTTCCTTTCCCCCCTCAGCTGCTTAAGCGAGAAAGGCCTCAGTCTGTGAGAGCCCTCAGTGTGAGAAGGCCTCAGTGGGAGAAAGGCCTCAGTCTGAGAGAGCCCTCAGTGTGAGAAGCCCTAGAAGAACACTTAGGTCTAGAGTAGGCATGGGCAAACTTCGGCCTTCCCTCCAGGTGTTTTGGACTTCAGCTCCCACAATTCCTGACAGTCTCCAGCCCTTTCCTTTTCCCCCCTCAGCCACTTAAGCGAGAAAGTCCTCAGTCTGAGAGAGCCCTCAGTGTGAGAAGGCCTCAGTGGGAAAAGGTCTCAGTCTGAGAGAGGCCTCAGTGTGAGAAGGCCTCAGTGGGAGAAAGACCTCAGTCTGAGAGAGCCCTCAGTGTGAGAAGCCCTCAGTGGGCGAAAGGCCGCTTAAGCTGGCTGAGGGGGAAAAGGAAGGGGCCTAGAAGAATAGCGTATTACATCTCCTTAAGAGCAGCATATTGCTTCTCCTCCAAACTGTATTCTAAAATCCATACAGTTAGACCTCATCAGGTGTGGCCCAAACATGCTGGCTGACCTACTTTACCTGCTGCACATAATAATTAACATCATAGTCAAGATTTGGCTTTTTGAGCAGGCTTTTGCTGTAAACCATGTGACTTTCCCTTCCATTGTGAAGAATACAAAAATGGCAATCTTGCCACCCAAAAAATGGGGGTGCGACTATTATGTGATGAAATACAGTTAACCTACCAGTTAACTTGCTTTGTGGCTGGCTCTTAGGAATGGTTGGAGTTCAAGTCCAAAGCACCTGGAGGGAGGGCCAAAGTTGGACCATGCCCTGCTTAACCTAATCTTTTTGTTGTTTCCCCTTTCTAGACTGCGAATGAACACTGGACTCCTTGCATCCTAAATGAAGCTGCAAAGATCATATACAAGGTAGGGTCCGCGCCACAAATGAGAAATTCCCTGATTAAAGTTATCAGTCCATCGAGGAATTAGATGCTTTAAGTTACCAGTCCATAGAGGTACCTTCACTCTCTTCAAGAGAATTATAACTTCAATGGCTAAGTTTCAGAGAGTTTCTTTCGTTCAGCTCAGGGGTTTTGATGGGACCGGGAAATGTGTTGAGTGGATTTCACAAAGTTAGAATGGAGTGAAAAGGAAAAGAAAGGAATGAACGAGTGTGGAAAAGGATGAGGCGTTGTGGTGCTAAGTGCCAGGGCAATTGATCTAATAAATCAGGTACCTATTGATCTAATAGGCTGACCTACATTACCAGCTGCATGTAATAATTAACATCATAAGGCTTTTCTTTGATTCATAACAGTAGCAAAATGACAGTTATGAAGTAGCAATGAAAACATTATTAGATATATATTAGATTTATATATCTAATAAGATATAAAAAGGTTGCGATAAGTCATAGCAGGACCAAGTGTGTGTGCAGAACAACCTTGTGGTGTTAATTATCTTATACAGCTGGGAAAGTAGGTCAACCAGCAAGATTGAACCACACACAATGGTGTATGGGTTTTTACAGTGTGGGAGTAGGTGGTTCTTGGTAGGTTTGGATGGTGGAGAGCTATTCTGAAGGAGGCTATGGTGAAATACCATTTATTCCAGGTTTATTTTTGCTCTCTCTTTTGCTGTTAAAATGAAGATGCCTTATTTTGTCGACTTCGTAAGTTTCTTGCATTGTTTGATTTTTGTATGCATTGTATAACAAAACCATGCTGCTGCCTCACCAAAATATAATAACTCAACGAGGAGTAGTAGAGAAGAGTAAGATTTTAATTTAATTATTTAGACGGGGGAAATATATACATAAAATATATCCCAACGCTCTCTGCCAAGCCAAAGTTATGGAGCTCACAAAAGATAGAGGGAGTATGGTTGTTGAACCCTGTATATTTAAAAGCTAGGAACTGGGAACCACTAGAACGGAGAGACTTAAAATGCTTTTTCAAAAGAATTTCACTGCCACCATTTCAAGTACTAAACAAACAGGCTGAGGTAATATTTGAGTTTCTTCTGTGACACACACTGTGCCACTATAGTTTCTTAAAGGCTGTTGTGAAGCTGACTTTAGTAATGCTTTGACCACAAAGGTATTCACACTGAGACTGGTATAAGTTGATAAAAATAACAAGAACATTTATTGAACAGTGTAACAAAGCGCGTATAATCAAGGAGGGAATTAAACTCAGGCCTCACTTATTGGAAAGAATATATTGTAGGGGAGGCCAATTATTTGTAAACTAGGGTAGCTGCCACCAATCGTGAGGTATATGAGTTTTCAATGATAAGATTTGGCTTCACAGACGCAGATTGACTGAGATGAAACGGTCTTTAACAAAAGAGAACAAGTTTATTTTTTACAAACTTTAATCAAAAGTGCTTTGAAGTTCTGTTCTTAGTATTATTATTATTATTATTATTATTATTATTATTATTATTATTATCTTTATTTGTACCCCGCTAGCATCTCCTGAAGGACTCGATGCGGCTTACAAAGGCCGAGGCCTCAAAACACAACATAACAATACAACACCTAAGCAAATTAAAAACAATTAAAGCAATATTAAACAACAAGCAATAAACTATACAACAAAACACTATAAAACTGGGCCAGGCCAGAGTAATGGGTACAGATTAAAAGTGCTGATGTGACAGGTGATATGTAAGGATTATGGGGTAAGTGCAGTGTGCAGTCTGCGGCAATCTTAGTTCTAATAAAGTGCTTCTGGGACTTGGTATTGGAGTTTTCCTATTCTGGAAAGGCACATCGGAACAGCCATGTCTTCAAGCTCTTCCTAAAGACTGCCAACGTTGGGGCTTGTCTGATGTCTTTGGGGAGAGAGTTCCAGAGTCAGGGGGCTACCACAGAGAAGGCCCTGTCCCTCGTCACCACCAAACGTGCTTGTGACACAGGTGGGATCGTGAGCAGGGTCTCTCCAGATGAACGGAGGGAGCGTGTGGGTTCATATACTGAGATGCGGTCATGCAGGTAGGCAGGTCCCAAACCGTTTTGTAGGTGAGCACCTGCACCTTGAATTGAGACCGGAAAATGAACGGCAGCCAATGGAGCTCCTTAAATAGGAGGGTTGACCTCTCTCTGTAAGGAGCCCCAGTTAACATCCTGGCAGCTGCCCGTTGGACCAGTTGAAATTTCTGGGCCGTTTTCAAGGGCAGCCCCACGTAGAGTGCATTACAGTAGTCCCACCTGGAAGTGACTAAGGTGTGGACCACCCTGGCTAGATCCGCCTTCGCGAGGTACGGTCGCAGTTGGCGCACGAGTCTTAATTGTGCAAAGGCCCTCCCGGCCACCACCGACGCCTGAGCCTCAAGCGTAAGCAATGAGTCCAGGAGGACTCCCAAACTGCGGACCTGTGACTTCAGGGGGAGTGTAACCCCGTCCAGCACAGGTTGCCACCCTATACCTCAATCTGGTTTACGATCGACCAGGAGGACCTCTGTCTTGTCGGGATTGATCTTCAGCTTGTTCTTCCTCATCCAGATAGACACAGCAGCCAGGCACTCGTCCAGCACCCGAGGGGCTTCCTTGGAGTTAGATGGAAAAAAGTAGTAGAGTTGTGTGTCAACTGCATAGAGGTGGCCCCCAACTCCAAAACTCCAGATGACCTCTCCCAGCGGTTTCATGTAGATGTTGAAAAGCATGGGAGACAAAATAGAGCCTTGCGGGACCCCACAGGTCAAAGGCCAGGGGTCCGAGCAGGTGTCTCCCAGCTTCGCCAACTGGGAACGACCCTCCAGGGTCGATCCCAGTATAGATTCGTTTCTCATCTTCCTTTTCCTGCAAAACTACCTCAAATCCTGTTGGGTTTTTTTGAAAACCTCTTTGACTCGAAAAGCAAGCTTTGTTACATCACCTCTCTCACAATGCAAGGAACCGAAGAGCTCCCTGGGGCTGGTCAAATAACTTCCTCTGGATCACATCCAAAGCAATTGGTTTGAGTTGATGACTTGCGGAAAAATAAAGGGCTTGCCTTTTGTACCGAGGAAGTTCTCAAGTGGAAGAGAAAGCAAGACGAGAGGCACAGAAGTGCTTTGAAGTTCTTTTCTTAGTAAGATGTATGTTTAGATTCTGCACAACTTGGATTCCGGTGCTTTCGTACTGCTCTAGATCGGACTAAATTTAGCTCCAACCCATTCAGGATGTGGGAACTTTCACTGTTTGTATTTTCATTTGGAACTAGGATATTATTTTGCTTCACAAACTATTTATTTATTTACTATCGATATATTTTGCCATTCTCAGCCCGAGGGCAACTCAGGGTGGTTTACAAACGGCGCAATTTGATGCCCGCAATAACATAAAAAATTAAAACATTTAGTATAAATAACATTAAGTAGAATAATAAAACTCAAAGAAATATTATCTATATTATTATATTAATTATTAATATATTAATTATTATTTAATCATTTAATTGTTAATTAAATATTATCAATTACCTAGCCAAAGTCTGCAAAATATCAGCTGAAAGCCTAGATACGAGGGGCGTTCATTAAAGATTTCCCCTGACCCACTTCTATTTGTCACAGGATGCTGAAACTGCACATGGTCCATGCCTTGGTCACCTCTAGATTGGATTACTGTAATGCGCTCTACGTGGGGCTGCCCTTGAAACGGCTCGGAAATTCCAACTGGTGGACAACATGAGCCAACAATGTGATGTGGCGGCAAAAAAAGCCAATGGGATTTTGGCCTGCGTCAATAGGAACATAGTGTCTAGATCTAGGGAAGTCATGCTACCCCTCTATTCCGCTTTGGTTAGACCATATCTCGAGAGCAGGACGTGTGAAAAAGATCTTGGAGTCCTCGTGGGGAGGAAGTTAAACATGAGCCAACAATGTGATGTGGCGGCAAAAAAAGCCAATGGGATTTTGGCCTGCGTCAATAGGAGCCTAGTGTATAGATCTAGGGAAGTCCTGCTCCCCATGCTCTATTCCACCTTGGTTAGACCACACCTGGAATATTGTGTCCCGTTCTGGGCACCACAATTCAAGAGAGATATTGACAAGCTGGAATGTGTCCAGAGGAGGGCGACTAAAATGATCAAGGGTCTGGAGAACAAGCCCTATGAGGAGCGGCTTAAGAGCTGGGCATGTTTAGCCTGAAGAAGAGAAGGCTGAGAGGAGACATGATGTTGTTCATTCGTTCAGTCGTCTCCGACTCTTCGTGACCTCATGGACCAGCCCACGCCAGAGCTCCCTGTCGGCCGTCACCACCCCCAGCTCCCTCAAGGTCAGTCCAGTCACTTCAAGGATGCCATCCATCCATCTTGCCCTTGGTCGGCCCCTCTTCCTTTTGCCTTCCACTTTCCCCAGCATAATTGTCTTCTCTAGGCTTTCCTGTCTCCTCATGATGTGGCCAAAGGACTTCAACTTTGTCTCTAGTATCTTTCCCTCCAGTGAGCAGTCGGGCTTTATTTCCTGGAGGATGGACTGGTTGGATCTTCTCGCAGTCCAAGGCACTCTCAGCACTTTCCTCCAACACCACAGCTCAAAGAGCATCGATCTTCCTTCGCTCAGCCTTCCCTAAGGTCCAGCTCTCACATCCGGAGGTTACTACAGGGAATACCATGGCTTTGACTAGGCGGAGACATGATAGCCATGTATAAATATGTGAGAGGAAGCCACAGGGAGGACGAGGGAGCAAGCTTGTTTTCTGCTGCTCTGAAGACTAGGTTGCAATGGAACAATGGCTTCAAACTACAAGAGAGGAGATTCCATCTGAACATGAGGAAGAACTTCCTGACTGTGAGAGCCGTTCAGCAGTGGAACTCTCTGCCCCGAAGTGTGTTGGAGGCTCCTTCTTTGGAAGCTTTGAAACAGAGGCTGGATGGCCATCTGTCAGGGGTGCTTTGAATGCAATATTCCTGCTTCTTGGCAGAATGGGGGTGGACTGGATGATGGCCCAGGAGGTCTCTTCCAACTCTAGGATTCTAGGATTCTATGATTCTGCAAGACAATGCACCCATTCACAACTCAGTTGCCCAAATGGACGAAGCATGTGCCTGTGGCTTTGACATTTTCCCACATCCCCCTGATTCACCCTACCTCGCACCATGAGACTTCCACCTCTTTCCAACAAGGAAGTTATTTCTGAAGGGCAAGCATTTCTCAGGTGATGAGACTCTGATTTCCAAAGTCACAACGTGGCTTTTGGAGCTACCTGTCGACTTCTACAAGCGAGGTGTTTACAGTTGCTTAAAAAGATGGCTCTAAGGAGAGAAGGACTCAGAACCGGGGCAAATTTCATTTCTCTCAGTCCACAGGAAGTGGGTCAGGGGAAATCTTTCATGAACACCCCTAGACGTTTTATTTCTTTAGTTTAGATTTTGATTGAATACCAGACTTAGGGCCATTAGATACTGTTTAATACTGTTTATATTGAATCCTGTTTTAATGTTTGCATATTTGTATATTTTAAATTGTATGCTAATGCTTTTAGGATTATTGTATGCTAATGCTTTTGTGAGTCTCCTTGGAGAGATATGCACGAATTATAATTAAAGTTTTATTATAGAATCCTAGAATCAAAGAGTTGGAAGAGACCTCCTGGGCCATCATCCAGTCCAACCCCATTCTGCCAAGAAGCAGGAATATTGCATTCAAATCACCCCTGACAGATGGCCATCCAGCCTCTGTTTCAGAGCTTCCAAAGAAGGAGCCTCCACCACACTCCGGGGTAGAGAGTTCCACTGCTGAACGGCTCTCACAGTCAGGAAGTTCTTCCTCATGTTCAGATGGAATCTCCTCTCTTGTAGTTTGAAGCCATTATTCCATTGTGTCCTAGTCTCCAAGGAAGCAGAAAGCAAGCTTGCTCCCTCCTCCCTGTGGCTTCCTCTCACATATTTATACATGGCTATCATATCCCCTCTCAGCCTTCTCTTCTTCAGGCTAAACATGCCCGGCTCCTTAAGCCGCTCCTCATAGGGCTTGTTTTCAAGACACTTGATCATTTAGTCACCCTCCCTATCACATATTCCCTTCTCATATTTATTCATGGCTATTATGTCTCCTCTCAGCCTTCTCTTCTTCAGGCTAAACATGCCCAGCTCCTTAAGCCGCTCCTCATAGGGCTTGTTGTCCAGACACTTGATCATTTAGTCACCCTTCATATGACATATTCCCTTCTCATATTTATTCATGGCTATTATGTCTCCTCTCAGCCTTCTCTTCTTCAGGCTAAACATGCCTGGCTCCTTAAGCCGCTCCTCATAAGGCTTGTTCTCAAGACCCTTGATCATTTAGTCACTCTCCCTATCACATATTCCCTTCTCATATTTATTCATGGCTATTATGTCTCCTCTCAGCCTTCTCTTCTTCAGGCTAAACATGCCCGGCTCGTTAAGCCGCTCCTCATAGGGCTTGTTCTCCATTTATTTATTTATTTATTTATTTATTTACTTCTTTTGTATACCGCAAATATCAGCCTAAAAAGGCGACTCGAAGCGGTTCTCCAGACCTTTTATCATTTTAGTCGCCCTTTTCTGGACACATTCCAGCTTGTCAATATCTCTCTTGAATTGTGGTGCCCAGAATTGGACACAATATTCCAGGTGTGGTCTAACCAGAGCAGAATAGAGCATGGGGAGCAGGACTTCCCTAGATCTAGACACTAGGCTCCTATTGACGCAGGCCAAAATCCCATTATTTCTTTTGTTATGTGTTAAACCACTTTGGGTCTCCTTCAGAAGAGATAAAGTTGGGTATAAATAAATATAATAATAATAATAATAATAATTTATTTATTTATTTATTTACTTATCGTGTCAATATCAACCAGACATTGGTATTACATTTTTAACAAATTTTTTTAACAAACAGACAAAACAGAGTTTGCAAGCTTGGTAGTTGATTATGTCAGGATTTATTGAGGTATGTATGTGTTTTGAATGTGCTTCTTTGTATTGCAAATATGGATGCCACTGTGAATGGAAAATGCTGTGCTGAAATGTTTAGGGTCGAGGCTGTGATTATGTGAACTTGAAAACTTGAGATAAGCTATGTCCTTGTGAGAACTTCAAGGGAGTTGCCAGCTTGAAGCTAGAGAAAGGCAAACAACTGTGAAGGAGTATTTTAGCTTTCGGTTTTACTATCTCTTCCTGTATGTCGCTCGCTGAAGTTGGATGTATTAGCTGTGTGCTTAGTAAACTGAGTTTTCTTTTGTAACTTAAGCTTCCAGAGTCCTTATTTTGCAAAGCAGTGTCTGTTAGATCTAGCATTCGTTCCATCAAGCTGTGCCAAAGCTTGACAGATTAAATGTCCTTTGACCAGTATCTGTCCCCTTGGAGTGCCTCTGGTGTTGCCGCAATGGGGGTCCTCCCTTGTGCATGTGGCAGGGCTCAGGGTGCATGGCAGCAGGTGATCTGTAGTTTGCTCTTCTCCACACTTGCATGTCGTGGATCCAACTTTGTGGCCCCATTTCTTGAGGTTGGCTCTGCATCTCGTGGTGCCAGAGGGCAGCTGTTCAGCGCCTTCCAAGTCATAGAATCATAGAATCAGAGTTGGAAGAGACCTCATGGGTCATCCAGTCCAACCCCATTCTGCCAAGAAGCAGGAATATTGCATTCAAATCACCCCTGACAAATGGCCATCCAGCCTCTGCTTAAAAGCTTCCAAAGAAGGAGCCTCCACCACACTCCAGGGCAGAGAGTTCCACTGCTGAACGGCTCTCACAGTCAGGAAGTTCTTCCTCATGTTCAGATGGAATCTCCTCGCCCCGTCTTCTGTGTGCCCAGGGCGGAGTCTCTCATTGGGTATCAGCATTGATTGAGGTTCTGGGTTTGAGCCTGCCACTTTTGGACTTTCACTTGCTGAGGTGTTCCAGCGAGTGTCTCTGTAGATCTTATAACACTATTTCTTAAGTCATTGACGTGCTGGCTGATACCCAAATAAGGGATGAGCTGGGGATGTCTCTGCCTTGGTCCTTTCACTATTGGCTGCTCCGTCCCGGCGGATATCAGGTGGTGCAATACCGGCTAAGCAGTGTAGTTTCTCCCGTGGTGTAGGGCACAGACACCCTGTGACGATGCGGCATGTCTCATTAAGAGCCACATCCACTGTTTTAGCGTGGTGAGATGTGTTCCACACTGGGCATGCGTACTCAGCAGCAGAGTAGCATAGCGCAAGGGCAGATGTCTTCACTGTGTCTGGTTGTGATCCCCAGGTTGTGCCAGTCAGCTTTCGTATGATATTGTTTCTGGCACCCACTTTTTGCTTGATGTTCAGGCAGTGCTTCTTGTAGGTCAGAGCACGGTCCAAAGTGACTCCTCCCAGGTATTTGGGTGCGCTGCAATGCTCCAGTGGGATTCCTTCCCAGGTCACCCTCAGAGCTCGGGATGCTTGTTTGTTCTTGAGATGAAAAGCACATGTCTGTGTTTTTGATGGATTAGGGATCAGCTGGTTTTCCCTGTAATAGGCAGTAAGAGCAGCTAGAGCTTCGGAGAGCTTCTGTTCTACCATCCCAAAGCTCCCTGCTTGAGCGGTGATGGCACGATCATCAGCATAGATGAAGCTCTCTGTCCCTTCTGGCAGTGGCTGGTCATTTGTGTAGATGTTGAACATGGATGGAGCAAGCACGCTCCCCTGAGGCAGGCCGTTCTTCTGTTTCCGGCATCTACTTCTCTGGCCCTGGAACTCAACAAAAAAGCTCCTGTTTTGTAGCAGGTTTCCTATGAGGCGGGTGAGGTGGTCGTCCTTTGTGATAGTGTACATTTTTCTCAGGAGGAGGCAGCGGTGGTTCACAGTATCATAGGGTGCTGACAGGTCTATGAAGACAGCTCCTGTGATCTGCTGCCTTTCAAAGCCATCTTCTATGTGCTGAGTCAGGTTCAGCACTTGCGATGTGCAGTTTCTGCCTTTCCTGAAGCCAGCTTGCTGTGAGAATAATAATAATAATAATAATAATAATAATAATAATAATAATAATAATAAGTGGGCCAAGTTTCATTGCTCTCCGCTCACAGGAAGTGGGTCAGGGGAAATCCTTCATGAACGCCCCTTGTATAACTTTGTGCCTTGCAGTATTAGTTGCTCCTTGCAGTGCGCTCCTTGACTTCCTTTTGCAAATAAAGTATTTGTTCAGTGCGGTTGCTAATGATCTGTCTTTGCGTTAACAGCTTTTGCGACTTGATGCGCTCAGCGTCTACTGGAACGTGGACAGCGAAATGTATTATCATGCTTCCCGAGAAGAGATCCTGGTAATGTAAAGCGTAATATTTGACAGTCATTTCTAATAAGTGACTTTTTGCTCCCTCGTATGAAAACTCACATGATCTTTGAGCCATTACGCTATGCAACACAATGATGTTTGTTGCTAGATTATGAATGTCATTTCCTATTTGGTTCTATAATAAAAAAACATGGAAAAGATTGGGGTTTTTTTGGGCTATATGGCCATGGTCTAGAGGCATTCTCTCCTGACGTTTCGCCTGCATCTATGGCAAGCATCCTCAGAGGTAGTGAGGTCTGTTGGAAGTAGGAAAATGGGTTTATATATCTGTGGAATGACCAGGGTGGGACAAAGGACTCTTGTCTGTTGGAGCTAGGTGGGAATGTTTCAACTGACCACCTTGATTACCATATAATGGCCTGGCAGTGCCTAGAGCCGTCCCCTGCCATGAGTTGCTGTGGCCCACATGGGGGTTTTGTGTGGGAGGTTTGGCCCATTTCAATCGTTGGTGGGGTTCAGAATGCTCTTTGATTGTAGGTAAACTATAAATCCCAGAAACTACAACTCCCAAGTGTCAAGATTCTATTTTCCCCAAACTCCACCAGTGTTCACATTTGGGCATATTGAGTATTCATGTAGAGTTTGGTCCAGATCCATCATTGTTTGAGTCCACAGTGATCTCTGGAAGTAGGTGAACTACAACTCCAAAACCAAAGGACACTGCCCACCAAACCCTTCCAGTATTTTCTCTTGGCCATGGGAGAACTGTGTGCCAAGTTTGGTTCAATTCCATCGTTGATGGGGTTCAGAATGCTCTATGATTGTAGGTGAACTATAACTCTTAGCAACTACAAATCCCAAATGACAAAAATCATTTTTTTTTGAGTGAAGGACATAGATTGGGTTGTTAGGTGTCTTGTGTCCAAATTTGGTGCCAATTCCCCCAGTGGTTTTTGAGTTCTGTTAATCCCACAAACAAACATTACATTTTTATTTATATATTTTTATTTTTATAGATATAATACTGATATTGTACTTTGCTAATAATGTAATATATTGTATGAAAATATATCTTGTAAGCCACTTTGAGTCCTCTGCGGGTTGAGAAGGGCGGCTTATAAATGTCGCAGATAAATAAATAAATAAATAAATGTCATTTCTTAATATTTCTAACTGTGAGAGCCGTTCAACAGTGGAACTCTCTGCCTTGGAGTGTGGCGGAGACTCCTTCCTTAGAGGCTTTTAAACAGGCTGGATGGCCATCTGTCGAGGGTGCTTTGAATACAATTTTCCTGTATCTTGGCAGAATGGGGTTGGACTGGATGGCCCAGGAGGTCTCTTCCAAGTCTAGGAATCCATGATTCTATGATTCTGTTAACCACAGATGCAGGCAAAACATCAGGAGAGAATGCAGCTGGAACATGGCCATACCACCGGAAAACTCACAGCCACCTTGATGGTGTCATTTTCCATAAGGGACACTATTTTGCTGTATGTAAGAGGGCAAGATTACGCATATTCCTGGAACCCAACCCTGGCAGATAGATACCAAGGCCCTTGTATTTTCCAAAGGATTTCTGAATGACATCTGAGCACGCATCCCAGTGCTTTATCTGATGGTTTCCAGTGGCAAAACCATGCATTCTAATATAATGGTTGGAAAGATGAAGTCAATAATCCATTGGCTGAGTCTGGGCAACAAGGGCATTTGAAACAACACCATAATCCTCCCGCTTGAACGCATCATGTAAACCAGCGTCACTAATATGAAATATAATATCTGGAATGATCCTGTCTCCTCTGTTGCAAGGCTCTGAATTCTAATTGCTCATAGTTCATCTTTCAGAATTGTGATTTAATTTGTTGTTGTTCATTCGTTCAGTCGTCTCCGACTCTTCGTGACCTCATGGACCAGCCCACGCCAGAGCTCCCTGTCGGCCGTCACCACCCCCAGGGTCTCCTTCAAGGTCAGTCCAGTCCCTTCAAGGATGCCATCCATCCGCATTGCCCTTGGTCGGCCCCTCTTCCTTTTGCCTTCCACTTTCCCCAGCATCATTCCCTTCTCTAGGCTTGGCTGTCTCCTCATGATGTGGCATTCAAAGGACTTCCACTTTCCCTCTACTCTCCTTCCCTCCAGTGAGCAGCTGGGCTTTCTTTCCTGGAGGATGGACTGGTTGGATCTTCTCGCAGTCCAAGGCACTCTCAGCACTTTCCTCCAGCACCACAGCTCAAAAGTATCTCTCTTCCTTCGCTCAGCCTTCCCGAAGGTCCAGCTCTCACATCCGTAGGTGACTACAGGGAAGACCATGGCTTTGACTAGGCAATGGATCTTTGTTGCCAGTCTGATGTCTCTACTCTTTACTATTTTATCGAGACTGGACATTGCTCTCCTCCCAAGAAGGAAGCGTCTTCTGATTTCCTGGCCACAGTCTGCATCTGCAGTAATCTTTGCGCCTAGAAATACAAAGTCTGTCACGGCCTCCACGGTTTCTCCCTCTATTTTCCAGTTGTCAATCATTCTTGTTGCCATAATCTTGGTTTTTTTGACGTTTAGCTGCAACCCGGCTTTTGCGCTTTCTTCTTTCACCTTGATTAGAAGGCTCCTCAGCTCCTCCTCGCTTTCGGCCATCAGAGTGGTGTCATCTGCATATCTGAGGTTGTTAATGTTTCTTCCAGCCATTTTCACCCCAGCTTTGCATTCCTCAAGCCCCGCACATCCTCGCATGATGTGTTCTGCATACAAGTTAAAAAGGTTGGGTGAGAGGATGCAGCCTTGCCGGACGCCTTTCCCAATCTTGAACCCGTCTCCTGTTCCGTGGTCAGTTCTGACTGTTGCTACTTGGTCCTTGTACAGATTCCTCAGGAGAGAGGGAAGGGGGCTTGGGATGCCCATCCCACCCAGAACTTGCCACAATTTATGATGATCCACACAGTCAAAGGCTTTAGAATAGTCAATGAAGCAGAAGTAGATGTTTTTCTGAAACTCCCTGCCTTTCTCCATTATCCAGCGGATATTGGCAATCTGGTCTCTCGTTCCTCTGCCTTTTCTAAACCCAGCTTGAACATCTGGCAACTCTCGCTCCATGTACTGCTGGAGTCTTCCTTGCAGGATCTTGAGCATTACCTTACTGGCATGAGAAATAAGGGCCACTGTACGGAAGTTTGAGCAGTCTTTCGCATTTCCCTTTTTTGGTATGGGGATATAAGTTGATTTTTTCCAGTCTGATGGCCATTCTTGTGTTTTCCATATTTGCTGGCATATGGCATGCATCACCTTGACAGCATCATCTTTTAGATTTTAAACAGTTCAGCTGGGATCCCGTCGTCTCCTGCTGCCTTGTTGTTAGCAATGCTTCTTAAGGCCCATTCAACCTCACTCCTCAGGATGTCTGGTTCTAATTCATTCACCACACCGTCAAAACTATCCTCGATATTATTATCCTTCCTATACAGATCTTCTGTATAGTCTCGCCACCTTCTCTTGATCTCTTCAGCTTCTGTTAGGTCCCTGCCATCTTTGTTTTTAAGGCCCATTCCACCTCACTCCTCAGGATGTCTGGTTCTAATTCATTCACCACACCGTCAAAACTATCCTCGATATTATTATCCTTTCTATACAGATCTTCTGTATAGTCTCGCCACCTTCTCTTGATCTCTTCAGCTTCTGTTAGGTCCCTGCCATCTTTGTTTTTAAGGCCCATTCCACCTCACTCCTCAGGATGTCTGGTTCTAATTCATTCACCACACCGTCAAAACTATCCTCGATATTATTATCCTTCCTATACAGATCTTCTGTATAGTCTCGCCACCTTCTCTTGATCTCTTCAGCTTCTGTTAGGTCCCTGCCATCTTTGTTTCTTATCATACCAATTTAATAATTTAATAATAATTTAATAATTATTATGATTTAATAATAATATTAATACTAATAATAATAATAACAACTTTATTTTTATACCCCGACCACCATCTCCCCAAGGGGACTCGGGACAACTTACAAGGGACAAGCCCAAAAATTACAAATAAAACACAACAGATTAAAAAATCTATATAAGTAAAAATGTAATGTTCGTTTGTGGGATTAACATAACTCAAAAGCCACTGGACGAATTGACACGAAATTTGGACACAACACTCCAAACAGACCAACGAGTGACCATCACTCATAACCACCACCCCCCCAAAAAAAAACCTAGTGGAAAGGACTTAAAAACCCTCAAAAGCTAAATGACGATACTGAAAAACAAGCAAGACAGCTTTGTCTCTTGGAAACCCTGTGTTACAATGCCAGGGTTTCCAAGAGGCAAAGCTGTCTTGCTTGTTTCGGAAATTGGGATAGATAACGCTTTGCTTTCCAGGGGAGTTTAGGCAGGGATGTTTTATGAAACAGGAAACACTCGGATGCGATATAGCTTCTCTCCTTTATTGCAACGAGGAAGTGGGAGCGTTTAGACATTTATGGCTTTATTTTGGCTTTATATTGCCTTCTTTCCCGGAACGGAAGCACGCCTCTCAGCGAATGCCATGATTTTGTGGCAATCACAAAATCTCTCTATTTGAGCGTCTGTTTCCTTGTTCAAGAGCAGGAAGAACCCCACCATTGCTTTATCCTTGCATAAAGTATTATGTTTCCTTGGAGCCAAATCCTCTCTAAGATCTTGTTTCGACTATCCTTTGCAGAACCAGGCTCTGCTCTAAATCCTCCCCAATGCTTAGCAGAGTCTCTGCAAACACTAATTTATATATTTGCCATCTCTTTTCTCCTTCATCTGTATTTAGCAATTATAATATCACAAAGGACGACCACCTCACCCGCCTCATAGGAAACCTGCTACAAAACAGGAGCTTTTTTGTTGAGTTCCAGGGCCAGAGAAGCAGATGGCGGGAACAGAAGAACGGCCTGCCTCAGGGGAGCGTGCTCGCTCCATCCATGTTCAACATCTACACAAATGACCAGCAACTGCCAGAAGGGACAGAGAGATTCATCTATGCTGATGATCGTGCCATCACCGCTCAAGCAGAGAGCTTTGAGATCATAGAATCATAGAATCAAAGAGTTGGAAGAGACCTCCTGGGCTATCCAGTCCAACCCCATTCTGCCAAGAAGCAGGAATATTGCATTCAAATCACCCCTGACAGATGGCCATCCAGCCTCTGTTTGAAAGCTTCCAAAGAAGGAGCCTCCACCACTCCAAGGCAGAGAGTTCCACTGCTGAACGCCTCTCACAGTCATAGAATCATAGAATCAAAGAGTTGGAAGAGATCTCCTGGGCTATCCAGTCCAACCCATTCTGCCAAGAAGCAGGAATATTGCATTCCAATCACCCCTGACAGATGGCCATCCAGCCTCTGTTTAAAAGCTTCCAAAGAAGGAGCCTCCACCACACTCCGGGGCAGAGAGTTCCACTGCTGAACGGCTCTCACAGTCAGGAAGTTCTTCCTCATGTTCAGATGGAATCTCCTCTCTTGTAGTTGGAAGCCATTGTTCCATTGCGTCCTAGTCTCCAAGGAAGCAGAAAACAAGCTTGCTCCCTCCTCCCTGTGGCTTCCTCTCACATATTTATACATGGCTATCATATCTCCTCTCAGCCTTCTCTTCTTCAGGCTAAACATGCCCAGCTCCTTAAGCCGCTCCTCATAAGGCTTGTTCTCCAGACCCTTGATCATTTTAGTCGCCCTCCTCTGGACACATTCCAGCTTGTCAATATCTCTCTTGAATTGTGGTGCCCAGAATTGGACACAATATTCCAGGTGTGGTCTAACCCAGCATGGGAGCATGACTTCCCTAGATCTAGACACTATGCTCCTATTGATGCAGGCCAAAATCCCATTGGCTTTTTTTGCTGCCACATCACATTTTTGGCTCATGTTTAACTTGTTGTCCACAAGGACTCCAAGATCTTTTTCACACGTACTGCTCTCGAGCCAGGCATGTCCCCCATTCTGTATCTTTGCATTTCGTTTTTCCTGCCAAAGTGGAGTATCTTGCATTTGTCACTGTTGAACTTCATTTTGTGAATTTTGGCCATTCATCTCTCTAATCTGTCAAGATCCCTTTGAGTCCTGCTCCTGTCCTCTGGAGTCTTGGCTCTCCCTCCCAATTTGGTCCCGTCTGCAAACTTGATGATCCTGCCTTCTAGCCCTTCATCTAAGTCATTAATCAAGATCCTGATCAGGACCGGGCCCAGGACGGAACCCTGCTGGTGGCCCTCCACTTGTCACTTCTTTCCAGGATGAAGAAGAGGAAGCCTTGGGGAGAATCACCCTCTGGGTTCGTCCATTTAACCAATTCCAGATCCACCTCACCGTAGTTTTGCCTCGCCCACATTGGACTAGTTTCCTTGCCAGAAGGTCATGGGGGACCTTGTCAAAGAAGGCCTTCCTGAAATCCATCCACGCTCCATCCACGGCATCATTCCCCGCATCTACCCAGCTTGTAACTCTATCGAAAAAAGAGATCAGATGAGTCTGGCATGACTTGTTTTTGATCAATCCATGTTGACTCTTAGCGATGACCGCATTTGTTTCTAAGTGTTTGCAGACCACTTCCTTGACCATCTTTTCCAGAATCTTGCCTGGTATCGACGTGAGGCTGACCGGACATTGGTCATTGTTTGGGTCATCCTTTTTTCCCTTCTTGAAGATTGGGACCACATTGGCCCTCCTCCAGTCTGCTGGAACTTCTCCCGTTCTCCAAGAACTCTCAAAGATGATTGCCAATGGTTCCGAAATGACTTCCTTCCGCTCGTTCCTTCAATACTCTTCTGTAGTTGATCTGGCCCTGAAAGGGGACTTGAACTCATTTAGAGCAGCCAGGTATTCCTGGACGACTTGTTTCCCAATTTGGGGTTGGATGTCCTCTAATCCCTCACCCACTCCGTCTTGCTGAGGTTGAAGATGACCTTCTTTTTGTGAGAAGACCGAGGGAAAGAAGGCATTAAGTAGTTCTGCCTTTTCCCTATCCCCTCTCAGCATTGCCCCATCTTCTCCTCGAAGAGGCCGTATCGCCTCCTTGTTTTTCCTTTTTCTACTGACATAAGAAAAGAACCCCTTTTTATTGTTTTTAATGTCCCTGGCAAGCCTGAGCTCGTTTTGTGCTTTAGCCTTGCGGACCTTTTCCCTACAGGTGTTGACTATTTGTTTGAATTCTTCTTTGGTGATTTTTCCCTTTTTCCACTTCTTGAGCATGTCTCTAATCATGGTATTTGTCAGCACAAAGCCCAGTTTTGTCCTTTGCATGTCTTGTTTTTCTGGATTCCTGTTTGCAAGTAAGGTAACTGGGTTGTGGTGAGTTTTCCAGACTGTCTGGCCATGTTCCAGAAGCATTCTCTCCTGACGTTTCACCCACATCTATGACAGGCATCCTCCGAGGTTGTGAGATCTGTTGGAAACTGGACCACTGGAGTTTATATATTTGTGGAATGTCCAGGGTGATAACTGTTGCAAGTCATAGCCCCGAGGATTATCTTTCTCACACTTCTTTGAAAAACACAGGGATGCTCACTATTTTGAAGGTCAGGCATTCAAGTTATTCCTGCATTGCCGGCGTGCTTGGTATCTGCATTGCAACCGATTCCACAGTATTGAGACGGTCATGGTGGAATTGAGTAACAGTGATCATTGCAACCAAAGATGCTTGAGACTGTTTATCAATTTAGCTTTGTTTTGGTCATTTGCAGGAGCGGTTGAAAAAAGGAGTCCCTTCTCCCAGCCAAAAGCTGCCAAATGATCAGTATAGTAAGTATGACCGTTATTAAATAATTATCATCATTGTTACGAGAGCTGCCTGAAGACCCAAGTGTTGCATTTGCAGAGACAGCTGACATCCACTCTAGATTTGCATATATTAAATTAGAAAATTATAAACCAACAACAGTAACAATAACAACAATGATATTGGAACATTGTCACATTGACAAAATAATAATAATAATAATAATAATAATAATAATAATAATAATAATGCATTGGAACATCATCACATTTGTAGAATAATAATAATAATTATAATGATAACAACAGTATTGGAACATTGTCACATTGACAAAATACTGTAATAATAATGATGCATTGGAACGTTGTCACATTGTCAGAATAACAACAACAACTGTGGCAGCCATTAGGAGAAAATAAAATAATAAAGGGAAATCATAATAATTTAGAATAAAATAGAAGATTCTTGTTCCTACCTGGTCCAGGGAGTTAATTTGCAAGCATGAAAAACCTGCAGATGGCATTGATTGACACGGGGTTAGTGTGCTCTGGCCAATGTTTGTTCTAGCCGATGTTGACTTAGATATGAAGTCAACGAGAGAAGTTTGGCAGGACGAAGAAACCAATAGTATCGATCCAAGACTTGGAACATCTAAGGTCGGATGGTGAGAGAGCGCCATCCTCTGACCACTTAATGTAAATAGCAGGCAATTTCAGAAGAGTTTCATTTTAAGTACATTCCTTCATGGTCTTCATATTAAGAAATAAGTTATAATGAAGTAATTAAGGCTGGATTGATTAGGAGAGTGCCTTGATCAAATCTTATGTTATAAGCATATAAAAGTTATAATTCAATTAGAAATATAAGGAATTGAACATATATGTGTCATCTTAAGGTAACGGGTGAAAGTTGGGATAAGTTACCTAATCGAGCAGATGTTTGGGGACATAAAGATGTCCTTAGCAACTATACATGAAAACACCTGTTAATGACTGTACTGTGTAAATGTCAGATTCTTTCTGCGCATGTGTAAAACAAGTAATTTTATGCTATAAAAACGGGAGCAATTGCGACTTCAAAGTGTGACAGTCATTGGAGCTGTTCACCCTATACTCCATGGAGATAGAAATAAACGCCTGGAAATCGGCCAAGCTGTCTCTCTCATCTTCTTCCTTCTCCAAAAGCACTCTAATGATCTCTGGTAACGTATATTCCGTAACACAACAACAACAGTATTGGAACATTGTCACACTGACAAAATAATAATAATGTGTTGGAACATTGGCAGAATGATAATAATAATAATAGCATTGGAACATTGTCACATTGTCAAAAAATAAATAAAGCGTTGGAGCATTGGCAGAATGACACATCAGCACTGGCACATTATTAGAATTGATAATAATAATAATAATAATTATTAATTATTATAATTATTAATTATTATTAATTATTAATTAATTATATATTATTAATTATTAATTATTAATTATTATAATTATTAATTATTATAATAATAATTATTAAATTATAATAATAATAATAATAATAATAATAATATAAACATTTGGATGACAACAAATCTAGTTTCCAACAGACCTCAACCTCTGAGGATGCTTGCCATAGATGCAGGCGAAACGTCAGGAGAAAATGCCTCTAGAACATGGCTCTATAGCCCGAAAAAACCCACAAGAACCTAGTGATAATAATAATAATGATGATGATGACAACAATAACAATAATAATAATGTGATCCAATGCAACAACCAGCAGAGTGATCTTGTCTGCTGTGGACTCATCTTATTCCGTTTCTAATAATAATAATAATAATAATAATAATAATGATGATGATGATGACAACAATAACAATAATAATAATGTGATCCAATGCAACAACCAGCAGAGTGATCTTGTCTGCTGTGGACTCATCTTATTCCGTTTCTAATAATAATAATAATAATAATAATAATAATAATAATAATAATAATAATGCTGGAACATTGATATGTTGGCAAAATAATGATAATAATAATAAAAATAATGGTATTGGAATGTTGGCAGAATAATAATAATAATAATAATAATAATAATAATAATAATAACAACAGCATTGGCACATTGGCACAATAATAATAATAATAATAATAATAATAATAATAATAATAATAATAATAATGGCATTTAAAATGGGACCTGACTGCATTTATTCTCCAGTGCAGATGCGAACAGAGAAAGGTATGAACCCGGTGGTGCAGCAGGTGAAAGTGCTGAGCTGCGGAACTTGCTGACCGAAAGGTCGGCAATTCGAATCTGGTGATTGGTGTGAGCTCCCTCTGTTAGCCCCAGCTTCTGCCAACCTAGCAGTTTGAAAACATGCAAATGTGAGTAGATCAATAGGTACCGCTTTGGTGGGAAAATAACAGCGCTCCACACAGTCATGCCAGTGGCCACATGACCTTGGAGGTGTCTATGGACAACACCAGCTCTTTGACTTAGAAAGGGACATGAGCATCAGAATCCCAGAGTCGGACATGACTAGACTTAATGCCAGGAGAAAACCTTTACCTTTACCTATATAAATAAAAATGTAATGTTAGTTTGTGGGATTCACATAACTCAAAAACTACTGGACAAATTGACACCAAATTTGGACACAAGACACCTAACAACCCAATGTATGTCCTTCACTCAAACAAAATTGATTTTATCATTTGGGAGTTGTAGTTGCTGGGATTTATAGTTCACCTACAATCAAAGAGCATTCTGAACCCACCAACGATGGAATTGAACCAAACTTGGCACACAGGACTCCCATGACCAACAGAAAATACTGGAAGGGTTTGGTGGGCATTGACCTTGAATTTTGAAGTTGTAGTTCACCTACATCCAGAGAGCACTGTGGACTCAAACAGTGATGGATCTGGACCAAACTTGGCATGAATATTCCATATGCCCAACTATGAACACGGGTGGAGTTTGGGGGAAATAGACCCTTGACATTTGGGATTGTAGTTGTTGGGATTTATAGTTCACCTACAATCAGAGCATTCTGAACCCCACATACTTGGCACACAGAACTCCATTGACAAAGAGAGAATACTGGAAGGGTTTGGTGGGCATTGACTTTGAGTTTGGGAGCTGTCGTTCACCTACATCCAGAGAGCACTGTGGACTCAAACAATGATGGATCTGGATCAAACTTGGCATGATACTCAATATGCCCAAATGTGAACACTGGTAGAGCTTGGGGAAAATAGAATCTTGACATTTGGGAGTTATAGTTGCTGGGATTTATAGTTCACCTACAATCACAAAGCATTCTGAACTCCACTAACGATGGAATTGAACCAAACTTGGCACAAAGTTCTCCCTTGACCAACAGAAAATACTGGAAAAGTTTGTGGGCAGTGTCCTTTGGTTTTGGAGTTGTAGTTCACCTACATCCAGAGAGCACTGTGGACTCAAACAGTGATGGATCTGGACCAATCTAATACTCAATATGCCCAGATGTGAACACTGGTGGAGTTTGGGGAAAATAGAATCTTGACATTTGGGAGTTGTAGTTGCTGGGATTTATAGTTCACCTACAATCACAGAGCATTCTGGACCCCACCAACGATAGAATTGAGTCAAACTTGGCACAACAGAAAATACTGGAAGGGTTTGGTGGGCAGTGTCCTTTGGTTTTGGAGTTGTAGTTCACCTACATCCAGAGAGCACTGTGGACTCAAACATTGATGGATCTGGACCAAATTCGACACGAATACTCTATATGTCCAAATGTGAACACTGGTAGTTTGGGGAAAATAGAATCTTGACATTTGGGAGTTGTAGTTGCTGGGATTTATAGTTCACCTACAATCACAAAGCATTCTGAACTCCACTAACGATGGAATTGAACCAAACTTGGCACAAAGTTCTCCCTTGACCAACAGAAAATACTGGAAAAGTTTGTGGGCAGTGTCCTTTGGTTTTGGAGTTGTAGTTCACCTACATCCAGAGAGCACTTTGGACTCAAACAGTGATGGATCTGGACCAAACTCTACACAAATACTCAATATGCCCAAATGTGAACACTGGTGGAGTTTGGGGAAAATAGAATCTTGACATTTGGGAGTTGATCTGGGATTTATAGTTCACCTACAATCAAAGAGCATTCTGAACCTCACCAATGATAGAATTGGGCCAAACCGCCCACACAGAACCCCCCCATGTGGGCCACAGCAACGCGTGGCAGGGGACGGCTAGTAATATATAAATATGTAACATCAGGTCCCAATTCTACTGACCTTCCTGATCTCGCTGTGCAGCTTGTGCCTGTGCCCTGAGCATGATTGTGCCTCTTCTCTCTCCTTTGTGTGCCGCACTCAGTCTTCAAGCCGGTCTCGGCCTCCGCCAAGCTCTACCTGAATCCTCACGCCGAGACGGAGCTGCAGACGCCCAAGATGGACTGGAGCATGGAAGTCCAGAGCATTGCCATCGAACTGACCAAGCCCCAGGTGAGCCTCTGCGTGACGTTTAGGAGCCGTGCTCAAGCTTTTCCCTTGGGAATGTCCGTTTTGTCATCTATCTGATCAAATTTATGTATTTATGTATTTATTTAAGGGGACTCGGAGCGGCTTACAAGGTATATATTACATACAAAATATTATATTTTGTTGTAGGTTTTTTCGGGCGATATGGCCATGGTCTAGAGGCATTCTCTCCTGATGTTTCGCCTGCATCTATGGCAAGCATCTCAGAGTAGTAACCTATTTCTCATTGGGTTGTTGTAGGTTTTTTCGGGCTATATGGCCATGTTCTAGAGGCATTCTCTCCTGACGTTTCGCCTGCATCTATGGCAAGCATCCTCAGAGGTAGTGAGTCTGTTGGAACTAGGAAAAAGGGTTTATATATCTGTGGAATGACCAGGGTGGGACAAAGGACTCTTGTCTGCTGGAGCTAGGTGTGAATGTTTCAACTGACACCTTGATTAGCATTTGATGGCCTGGCAGTGCCTGGGGCAATCTTTTGTTGAGGGGTGTTAATCTGTGCCTGGTTTTTCCTCTCTGTTGTTTTGCTGTTGTAATTTTAGAGTTTTTTAATACTGGTAGCCAGATTTTGTTCATTTTCATGGTTTCCCCCTTTCTGTTAAAATTGTCCACATGCTTGTGGATTTCAATGGCTTCTCTGTGTAGTCTGACATGGTGGTTGTTGGTGTGGTCCAGCATTTCTGTGAAACAGCTAAACAGCTAAACAACACATCTAATCACCTCTCAACAAAAGTTTGCCCTAGGCACTGTCAGGCCATTATATGCTAATCAAGGTGGTCAGTTGAAACATTCACACCTAGCTCCAGCAGACAAGAGTCCTTTGTCCCACCCTGGTCATTCCACAAATATATAACCCATTTTCCTATTTCCAACAGACCTCACTACCTCTGAGGATGCTTGCCATAGATGCAGGCGAAACGTCAGGAGAGAATTCTAGAACATGGATATAGGGACCTCATAGTCAGGGAGCTATTCTACTGATATTACCGACTGTTGGATTCAGGGGGACGGAGAGAGGCACGCCTAGTCTTGATGCGCTTCGGCGCGACGCGACGATAGTTCTGTCATTATCGCTATGTCTCTTATGTTCTCTCCTGTTTGATTTAGTTTATCTGT